AGCGCCAGGGGTCAGCAGCGAGGCGGCGCGACATGGCGGCGCCGTGACGGATGTAAGACCAGCCAGGGCGCAGTAATCGTTTATAGTCCCGGAATCCTGGGGACACCACCCAGGAAGCCCAGAAGCCAGAACTTGGCTCGCAGGAGAGAAAAAACCCTTCCCAATGTTTCTACACCTGTAGACCCGACTCGGGCCAGAAAGGGCTGGAGGAGGAGGGGTAGGAGGAGGAGGAGGAGGAGGAGGAGGAGGAGGAGGAGGAGGAGGAGGAGGAGGAGGAGAAGTCGTCGTAGGGAGGAGGAGGAGGAAGAGGAGAGAGGAGGAGAGGAGGAAGGAGGAGAGGAGGAGGAGGAGCCGCTGGGGGGGCCCCGCCTCGCAGCCCGCGCCGCGCGCGGCGGCCACGAAGGCCCCGAACGCGGCCGCGTCCACGAAGGAGGCCGCTGCGCAGCGGCGGGCCGGGCACCCCGTGCGGGAGGGCGGGCGCGGCGGGGCGCGGCGCGCACGGCGGGAGAGCGGCACGGGCACCAATCTCCCTCCCCCTCCTCCTCCTCCTCCTCCTCCTCCTCCTCCATCCTCCTCCTCCCTCCTCCTCCTCCTCCTCCTCTCCTCCTCCCACTCCTCCTCTCCCTCCTCCTCCTCCTCCTCCTCCTCCTCCTCCCCTCCTCCTCTCCCTCCTCCTCCTCCTCTCCTCCTCCTCCTCCTCCTCTCCTCCTCCTCCCCCTCCGCCTCCTCCTCCTCCTCTTCCTCCTCATCCTCCTCCTCCGTCCTCTTCCTCCTCCTCCATCCTCCTCCTCCTCCTTCTCCTCCTGCTCCTCCTCCAACTTCTCCTCCTCCATTCCTTTCTCTTACCTATACGAGCACCCTTCGGGTGATGAGGAGGTTCTGGGAGGAACCAGCGTCTCACGCAATCGATATGACTATCAATCTCACAATCGATCTCATCCGATCGAGCTCACAATGGATCTCACCATCGATCTCCCTCCTCCTCTTTCTTCTCCTCCTCCTCCTTCCATCTGTCATTGTCCTCTTAAGCAACTCCTCCCTGTCGCACCCCGAGACGTGTCGGTAGGGCGGGCCGGGCGTTTCGCCTGAGCCTTCCTCACCATTCATGGTCCTTGAGCTGAAGATTTGCAACAGTTTCACGGATGGAGAGCGGATGGTTTTCAACATGTGGCTCTCGCCTTGGCGCCGCGCACGTTCGTCCTAAGAAAGAGCAGCTTCTTGGATGGAGGACGGGCCGTTTTCAAAATATGGCTCTCGCCGTCTCGCCCCGCCCATTCGTCTTGAAATATGACGAGAGCTTCACGGATACAGGACGGTTCCTTTTCAAAATGTGTCTCTCGCCTTAGCCCCGCGCACATTCGTCTTCAGAGTTTACAGCTGTTCCACATATTATTATGGTCGGCGTCCCAGAAATAATATATTGGCACGATGTAAGACTGTCAAGGCGCAATAGACACGTTGATTCGCGGTGTTGGCATTCCAGGAGTGGTGTTCTGGCACGATTCCGGATCGTCAGGGCACCATAAAAAAAGTTGATTCGCGGCGTTGAAATCCCAGGAACAGTGTTTCATGATTTTCAAGCGGTTGTCTTCCAGCGGGGCACTTCCCACAGAGAAGATCTCCTTGTAGGGACCAGTGAAAAAAACTTGGAGAGAAGGTGTATGTACTGCAATTTCGTTGATGTGTCTTGGGCTTGCACCGGTCGCTCTCCTGCCCCTCCTCCTCGAGGGCGGGGGATCCTGGAGTCCCTCGGCGGTCCAGGGCGCGCGTGCGAGGCTTTCACACCGAGTTCGCGCTTACGTCTCGCGCGTGCGTCTGTGAACGATGTTGTGGCGCGCGCGCATGCTCTGCATGCTTTTTGGTGCGCTCATCCTCACAATCCTCAGCCTCCTCACCCTCTTCATCCTCCTCTCCCTCCCCCCCGAAAAAAGGATTGCAACCGTTTCCCCCTCCCCATACCCCCCCAAAAAGAAACAAGTACAGAACAACAGCCGCATCAGAATTTGTTATTGTTGTTGTCATACCTATTTTTTTGCAGGAAGGAGGAGGAAGCGGGGGTAGGGAGGGGGGAAACTATTCGGCGTGGTCCTCCTTGCGCGAGCATGCTCTGCGTGGTCTTCGGCGTGCTCCTCCTCACCCTCCTCAGCCGCCTGTTCCTCCTCCACTCCCCCCCAGAGGATCACAACATGTTTTGCGCCGCTCCTTTCATACAACAACGTGGACAGTGAACTGCGTCTGCATGGTTTCACTTTTTTTAGGGGGGGGAGGGGACACAATACACTCTTCGACGTGTTCGCCCTCGCGCGCGCATGCCCTGTACTCTCTTCGGAGTGTTCTGCTCTCACCCTCCTCAACCGCCTGCTCCTCCTCTCCTCCCCCGGTAAAGAAACTTGTGAAGATTTCCAGGCTCGCCTCAACCCGCCTATCCCTTTCCTCTTTTGCTCTCCCTCTGCCCCTCTCCCGTGCTCCCGCAACCACTGTGGGCCCAAGCCTGGGGCCCCAGGTTTCTTTGCTTCTCGGGCGGCCCGCGCCCGAGATCGTGGAGCCTGTGCTGGCGCGCTGGCTGGTGCAAAAGGGGGTGCGCCCACACTGATAGCAGAAAGGAGGCAGATCGGTGTTCAAACTGGTCGCGGAGCAGGTTTCGATCTACGGCGGCAAGAATGGCCCGCTCGACAGACGAGTCCGCGGAGGAGCTCTTTGTCGACAAGGAGGGCATCCCGCATTGGGACGGCGAGAACATAGCTCTTCTACGAGAATACCGCATGAGGGTGATGATTGAGTACAGCACCCAGTCCAGCTCGACGGAGGCTGGCAAGGAGAAGAGGGCGAACTTGGGCTTGCGCTTGACGCGAGGCCTCACTGGCCGCGCGTGGAAGGCGGTGGAGCCCCTGCTGGACGACATGGCGTCGCTCACCCAGGACGGCTCGCACCAAAAGATCATCGAGGCTCTCGATGGCTTAGACAAGGTAGCGGTAGTGCGCAAGCAGCAGAAGTTCGACGACTTCTTCAAGAGGTCCCGCCGCCGGCGTGGCCAGGAGATCGTCGAGTACCTGAGGACGTTCCACAACAAGTACAAGGAGCTGACGGAGCTGGACACCGGGACGAAGCTCAGCGACGACCTCTACGCCTACTTCCTCCTCGAGGGGGCGATGCTGACGGACGACCAGAAGAGGCTGGTCACGATGGTGGCGGACAACAAGTACGAGACTAAGGCCTTCGAGAACACACTGAAGACGAACTACCACGACCTCCACCTGCAAGAGAAGACCTCCCGGCTGCCACAGCCTCATCTTCACGGACGCTCGAAGGGCGGAGGCAAAGGAGGCAAAGACAAGTCCAAGAAGCAGACGAGGGTGTACTACACCGAGGCGGACGACTTGGACGACGAGGAGGACGAGCAGGACGAGGACTACGATGACGAGGTCTACGAGGCCTACGAGGATGGCGAGGCCGAGGATGACATCGCCAGTGATGCTGGGGCGAGTCAGGACGAGGCCATCAACAACGCGTACGCCGCATACGACACTGCCCGGGCCAAGGTCCGGGACCTCCAGAGGAAGCGCGGCTTCTTCAAGGCAGAGGGCACGCTGACGTTCGAGGAGCGCAAGGCGGAGATCGCGAAGGACAAGCAGCGCACGCACTGCGGGGCGCGCGGCAAGATCGGCCACTGGGCCGGGGACCCAGAGTGCCCCATGGGACCGAAGAGGCCGAAGCCGTCGGCGAAGCCTAAGAGTCGAGCTGATCCGCGTGGTCGAGCAGCGGCGTTGGGTCGCCCAGCCTGGAGCAGTCCGGCGGCCTCGGGCAGCAGCCCACGTCCGACGAGCAGCACCAGTGCCAAGAAGCGGAGAGATGCGACACTCTTCGTGCTGGACGACGTCGAGTACGACTCGGCCTTCTTCGTCGGCTCGGACCGCGGCTCCGACATCGGCTCCTTCAAGCTCGTGGGCAGCGACATCGGCGACAGTGCGAGTGTGGTCAGCGACGGCCTCAGCACGACTCTCCCGACGATGAAGGACGACGAGGTGTTGCCGTGCCCGAAGTGCTCCAAGGCTCTGGTGGCCCGCCAGAACCATCGGACGGGCGGCTGGTTCTTCGGATGCAGCCAGTTCCCGAGCTGCAAGGGCACGCTGAACTACAACGAGGGCGAGCAGAGGCTGCGCGAGGCGCGGCCACCGCCGTCTTCGGCCTGAGCACACTCCACACCGGGGCCCAGAGGGGCCCCTCACGGGCGCCACGAGCGCCCAGTACCCGGGGAAGGAGTTTATGGAGATAGTGCTTATGGTGAGTGAAGACAGTGACACGTCTGACGTACCAGTGGCGCTCATCGACACCGGTTGCACAAGATGCATGCACGGCAAGCACTGGCGGGAGCTGTTCGAGAGGAGGTGCCTGCATCCCCGTGGCCTCGAGATCAAGATGACGGACCGCGTGAGGAGCTTCTCCTCGGCCTTCGGCAAGAAGCAGGAGGGGCGCGTGGTCGAGATCCCGGTCGCCCTGGGCGGCCGCCGCGGGGTGATCTTCAGCACGGAGATGGACGACTGCGACACCCCGCTCCTGGTCAGCCTGGCGTCGCAGGAGGCGCTGGGTGCCGTGCTTCACCTGAGGGAGATGCGGATGGAGCTGCAGACGCTCGCCGTGGACGTGCAGCTGATCAAGGTGGGCGGTCACTTGGCAGTGCGACTTGACGATTGGAAAGACGATGATGGTCACCGATCGGCGGCAGCTCCGAGTCCGAGATCAGCGACGGCGATCTCGATGAATAGGGACTCGGAGTTCTTCTACGCGCAGTCACAGAAGGAGTCGGCCTTCGAGTAGTCCGACGGCGAGGAGATCCGAGTCGAGGAGGAGGTTGGCCACGCCTTCCTGTCGAAGGATCGCGGTGTGCTGGCCACCGACGCGACAGGGATCCTCTCCAAGACGACTCGGAAGAAGCTCGAGTCCGCCTGGCGTGGGCTTCGTGGAGAGGATCGTCGACTACGGGAAGAGCTGCTTCGACCAAGGTTCGAGGCGGAGCGTTTCGTGACTGCCGACTTCCAGACCACGGTGGTGTTCGAGCCGTTCGGTGGGGAGCACATCCTGACGCGCTACGGTGCGAAGGAGTACGGATGGATGCAGTCTCAGCCGTTGGATGTGGACCACTCTCCCGACTACGATTTGCTCAAAGGCCCTGGGCGGGCCTTACTCTACCGAATCCTCGACCTGCACTGGCCTTACATCACAGTGTTGGCTTTTCCCTGTCATCCGCGGTCCTTGATGACCAACATGAACAAGGGTGTAGACTGGGATGAAGTCCGCAGGAGTGCTCGTCGTTATCTTTTGCTCGTTCGACGAGTATCTCGATGTGTGCATGCGAGAGGACGGTATTTCTTGATAGAGCAGCCTTTGACAGCACCTTCTTGGGAATATGACGGCATCCTGATACGTTTATGGGATTTGGAAGGTGTTGTCTTTGTGCGTGGAGATCAATGTGCCTACGGAGCCTGCGACAGGGGCACGGGCAAGCCGATCAAGAAGCCGACAGGGTGGCTCACGAACAGCGCAGCGGTGGCGAACCAGCTGAGCAGGCGCTGTGCCTGTCCGCCCGGCGCTCACCAGCAGCTGCTCGGGAGGAACTCGGGTGGCTATCGGGCGCAGCAGGCGGCGGCCTACCCCGTGGGCCTCGCGAAGGCCTTCTGTCGCGGAGTGCTCCAGCAGATGCAGATCGACTGCCGCAGCTCGCTGGTCATGGATGCGGCCTTCCCTGTGGAGGATGCTTTCCCGCACGAGCGTCCGCGATCGCGGGCCCCGCCGCGAGGAGAGCCCGTGCCGGAGGAGGCACACCAGGAGGGCCCGCCTCTCGGAGAGGACGCGCCGCCCGCCGAGGCGGCAGCGGAGGCCCCCGAGGCACCGGCCGAGGTGCCCGCGAGGCCCAGGCGCGGCCGAGCGCCTGCTCGACGCGAGCGCGGAGTGCCTCCTGGCGGACGTCCGCTGGGCTTCCGCCGGGGACGGCGTACACAGTACGGCGAGTTCGAGCTGCTGACGGTAGAGCTGTGCGCCGAGCTGGACACGTTCCGGAGTTGGCATGGACGACTACTGGAGACGATGGGCGAGGATATCGAGACGATCATCTGGGGCTCGGACCTCTTCCTGGAGGAGCTGGGAGGAGTCATCAGCGAGCCGCTGAAGATGGTGAAGGCTAGACGCGGGGGTCAGCGGCTCCAGACGGCGCAGCCACAGCTGCACGCCGCGGACGCCCCGCTCAGGATGGTCACGACACTCAAGGGCGACCAGCTTTTCAGGCTGGACTTCGAGGACTGGTCGCAACAATCACTGCAAGCACGACGGCGCTTGTTGCCACGACACCTACTCGAGAACGACGTGGTGGTCTTCTACTTCGCGGGCTACGAGCGGGGCGACCTGCCCGAGGGGCCGGCTGCAGCACAGCAGCGGGACGCCTCACGGGAGAGGAAGCGACGTTGGGAGCTGTTGCCGAGGGCCGTCAAGAGGGCGATCGAGCGGGTGCACGTGAACCTCGGGCACCCCTCACGGCCGGCGCTGCTCAGGGCGCTGCGCCTGGGCAAGGCGACGGCGGTGGCGCTGAGGGCAGCAAGGTTGTTTGTTTGCGAGAGCTGCCGGCGAGTGCAGCGACCCAGCATCCCACGTCCGAGTCAGCTTCCGAGGGTCGACGAGTTTAACGTGCTGCTCGCGATGGACTGCTTCGAGAATGTCGACAGCGCCGGCAACAACTGGGAGTTCCTTGGCATCATGTGTATGGGGACAAACTTTCACGTGGTTTGCCTGCTGGAGGACACTCACAAGAACCCCAAGGCCTCGGAGGTCAGGAAGTTCTACGAGCTCTGCTGGGTCTCCTGGGCTGGCCAGCCGGAGGAGGCGATCATGGTGGACCGCGCGCGGTCCTTCCTGGGCGAGTTCGCGGACTACCTGGAGCAGGAGGGCGTGCGCCTGGACTCGGCCGCGCTGGCCTCGCCGTGGCACATCGGCAAGATGGAGCGCCACGACGGCATCTGGAACTCGATGCTCACGAGGGTGGTGCACGACAAGCAGGTGGCGGGCCTTGAGGAGATGAGGACGGCAGTGACGGAGTGCAACAGGGCCAAGAACACTCTGGCCCGGCGGGCTGGTTTCAGCCCCTACCTCTGGGTCCTTGGCCGGGATGTCCGACTCCCGGCGAGCCTCGCAGATGACGCCGAGGTGGAGCGTGTGGGCGAGCAGGTGGCAGCTGCTACGCCGGGCTCACGCTTTGCCCGCAAGGTGGAGATCAGGACTCAGTGCAGGATGGCTTTCATCCAGACCGACACGGAGGATCGACTTCGACGAGCAGAGCTTCGACAGATACGACCTACGAGAGGGCCGTTCGTTGTTGGCCAGTGGGTACTTTTCTACGACCAAGCGCAGCCAGTCAAGCATCGACCCGAGCATCCAGACAACTGGCGAGGGCTGGCGCGCGTGATCGGACATGAGGGACGGCATGGAGTGTGGCTCGCTTTCCGTGGCCTCACCGTGCTCGCGAGCCCGGAGCACCTGGCTGCAGCGACCGGCCACGAGATCCACGCCTGGAGATCGATTGCACAGGAGCAGGAGTTGGTGCACGACGCGCCCGTCAGTGGCGGCAGCGGCTTCGTGGACTTGCGAGGTCGGCCCAGGCCCCCCGCCGCAGCGGGGCAGGAGCCCGCTGAGCAGGGCGACGAGAGCGGCATGGACGTCGGGCCGCAGGCAGGGGCGCCGGAGGAGCCGCAGCCCGCCCCGGCTCCGCCTGAGCCGGAGGCGCCTCAGGCCCCGCCTGCGGCGGAGGCTCCTCGCGCGGCCCCCGCCGCGCCCGAGCCGCCCGCGGCGCCAGCCCCAGCGGTGGGGGCTGAGGACGTGCCCGTGCCGCCCGACCTGGACTTCGACGCGATGGAGTTCGACGCAGCGATGCAGGACATCATGAGAGATGACGGCGACGATGACTGGCACCCTGACTCTCACGGGGTGCAGACGGAGCCCGAGCCGGAGGCCTCTCGGCATCGGCGTCCTGGGAATCTCCTGGAGGAAGAGGAGACTGAGGAGCGCCGCGAGCGGGAGGCCAAGCGACGGCGCCTGCTGGACGACGTCCCTGTTTCGATCCGACAGGGGACTGCAGGATCCAGCCTCTCGGCGCCTGTCGACTCGGCGAAGTTCGTGCTGGACAATGACCTGGAGGAGTTCATGGAGGCCGGCTTCGAGACTTACCAGCAGGATGAGGCCTTCTTTGTCCAGGAGGGCATTGGCAAGGAGGAGTTCATCTTCGGGCTGATGCGGAATGATTTCGAGCACGCTTTCCTGACGAAGAAGCCTGGCAGGAAGGAGATCAAGCTCGGCAGCTTGCCTGAGGAGCAACGCCGGATGTTCATGGATCGAGGTGGCAGTCGTGATGCAGAGTGGCGATCCTGGCAGGACTTTGATGCAGCTGAGCCGATCCCGCCGGATGAGAGTGACTCGATCCGCGCGGACAAGGCCAACATCATCATCCCGATGCGCTGGGTGGATACCGACAAGAACGACGGGAAGTATGATGAGGCCGGAGCCCCCCTGCCGCTGCTCGCGAAGAGCCGCCTGGTCGTGGTGGGCTTTCGCGACCGCTTGCTGGGTATGTTCAGGCGAGACGCTCCCACTGCCTCACGGCTGGCGGAGGCGCTGCTCCTGACGTTGGCGGCGGCCATGGGCATGACCCTCTCCCTGGGCGACGTCAAGAACGCCTACTTCAACGGGCAGAACCTGCAGCGCGAGGTCTACCTGGAGCAGCCTCGAGGAGGTCTGCCTGGCCTTGCCGCGGGCCAGTTGCTGAGGGCCCGCAAGGCCATCTACGGCTTTGCTGAGGCAGCAAGGCTCTTCTGGCTAGCGCTGCGTGACGCTTGCTGTCCGACGGCTGGCTTCAGTCGCGCCTAGAGCCGGCGCTCTTCTACAGGCGCATGGACGGGCAGCTGAAGGGCATCGCGGTCTCGCACGTCGACGACGTGCTGGTGGCGAGGATGAAGGACATGCAGCTGTCGGACCTCTTGCCGAAGGTCCTGGGTACGTTCCAGTGGAAGTGGAGCGAGCTGCCCTTCACCTTCCGTGGCCGTGAGATTTCAAGTGATCCGAGAGGTTTTCTGGTCAAGATGGTGAACTACGCAACTTCCATCAAGCCGATCAAGATCCCAGCAGGACGAAGGAAGCAGTTGCAGGAGGACCTGAACGAGAACGAGGCGAAGGAGCTGCTGAGGGTATCTGGTGAGATCGGCTGGCTAGGTCGACAGTGCCGACTCGACCTGGCCTTCCTCTCAGGCGAGCTGCAGAGGGCCCGAGCGGCCCCGTGCGTGGCGGACCTGGTTAAGGCGAACCTGGCGGTGTCTGAGGCCAAGAAGGGTGCCGAGGTCGCGTTGGTCTACCCGGCCAACCTGAGGCTGTCCAGCGCCGTGATCGGCGCGGCCGTGGACGCAGGCCACGCGAACGGCCCAGAGCACGACGACATCGAGCGCTACAAGAGCTGCGGAGGCCACGTGGTGCTCCTCACGACCGACGGCATCCTGGCCGGACACCAAGCACCAGTGGCAGTGCTGGACTGGAAGAGTGGCATGACACAGCGTGTGTGCCGCTCAACCTAGGCGGCAGAGGCCAGTCACCTGGCCGATGCGGTGGAGGCCGTCGACTGGGCGGCAGTGCTGTTCAGAGAGGCTATGAATGTCTCAGTGGACTTGCTCAACTGGCAGGGGGAGGTGCAGCGGCTTCCTCGCTTTTGGGCAACGGACGCCAAGTCCGTCTACGACCACCTCACGAAGGAGGGCTCGGCCAAGAGCAAGGACAAGAGGATGGCTATCGAGGGGGCCTTGCTCAGAGAGGTACTACGCTGCGAGAACACCCGCCTCAGGTGGATTGACGGCTCGCAGAACATAGCAGATGTGCTGACGAAGCTGGGAGTAGACAAGGTCTACCTCTACAAGGTGCTGCGGGAGGCCAAGTGGAGTCTAGTGCAGGACCCGGCGGCAGCGGCGATCAAGATGAAGAAGAGTATGCAGCGGGCCAGCCGCAAGACCGCCATCGACTCGAGGAAGACGGAGAAGAGGCAGCAGGACAAACTCGTGAGAGCTAATGAGATGCGGGACATCGCAGTTTGAGGTGCCAGGCGGTTTTCGGCGTCTCCTTTTGAGGGCGTGTGAAGATTTCCAGGCTCGCCTCAACCCGCCTATCCCTTTCCTCTTTGCTCTCCCTCTGCCCCTCTCCCGTGCTCCCGCAACCACTGTGGGCCCAAGCCTGGGGCCCCAGGTTTCTTTGCTTCTCGGGCGGCCCGCGCCCGAGATCGTGGAGCCTGTGCTGGCGCGCTGGCTGGTGCAAAAGGGGGCGCGCCCACACTGATAGCAGAAAGGAGGCAGATCGGTGTTCAAAGAGGAGGAGGAGGAGGAGGAGGAGGAGGAGGAGGAGGAGGGGGAGTGGGAGGAGGAGGAGGAGGAGGAGGAGGAGGAGGAGGATGAAAAGGATATGGCGGAGGGGGAGGAGGCGAAACAAGATGAGGAGGAGGTGGAGAGGAGGAGGAGGAGGAGGAGGGAGGAGGGTGAGGAGGGGGGGAGGGGGAGGAGACGGCGGAGGAGGAGGGGAGGAGGAGGAAGGAGGAGGAGGAGGAGGAGGTGGAGGAGGAGGAGGAAGAGGAGGAGGAGGAGGAGGAGGAGGAGGGGGCGGGGGAGGGGGAAGAGGAGGATTCGGTTTTTTTGCATGCACCGCACGTTCACCGCACCAGGGTGGGGGAGGCCCTGAAGGGTATCTCCTGGCCCGCCTCCACTGAGAGGACGGGCCAGGGAGGTGCGCCCTGCACTGTGCAGGCAAGGGCTCACACCTCACAAATGACAAAACGCCGTCAAGTCGACGGTGACCCCATTCTTTTTAGGATGAAGCCCCTTCTTCAACTTGACCCACGGCTGCTGTGTGCGGCCACCTTGTGTGGCTCACACTTCCTGTCGAGATTCCGAAGCTGACCTCCCGACGTCATATAACCGCACTTGTGGCAAATACACAAAACGGAGCCGTCCGAGCAGTCGAGCAGCACGCAAAAATGACCAGGGTCACGCAGCCTGGTCGGGGACACCTTCAGAATAGCGTCGCACCTCCCCAACGGGGGCACGACAGAGGGGCGGCCACGCTTGCCCCGCAAACACTCAGCGCACTGCCAATATTTGCCCACCCAGCTCCACTGGTGGACCGTATTGCCCTCTCCCTGTCGACACTCAGCAGGGGGAGGAGGGACCAACTGGGCGTGGGGGCCCAAAGACAGCCTCGGCCACAACGCAAGGAGCTTCGCTCCTAGGCGGCCCACAGCTCTGGCAACAGCAATACCGCGATCAAGACCCTCTAGCACGGACCCCGACGGCATAGGATGCAAGAGAACCGTTTCCTTGGCCGTCGAATCAGCCCATTCGTTGCCTTGTCGCACGTACCGATCATTGTCGTCGGTGGCAGCCTGAACGTCCTGGTGGGCCTTGACTTTCTCTATCTGCACATTCGACCAGTGATTTCTTAAATGCTGGGCCACACCACTGTACATACGCTTGGCAGAAGCCATCCCGGCCCAAGGCAACCGAGAGAAGTCAACATAGCCTTGGCAGTCGGAAAACATTGTAGAAGGGCCTGTCGCCCACTGCACCGCAACAGACATGGCGTGATATTCAGCCGCCTGCGGCGTCTGGGGACAGGGCGCCCAAACTGGACCTTTAACTCGCACCACAGCATTGCCAGTTTCCTTCGAGACGACCACGATAGCCCACCCCGCTCTGTTGAGGTCCCCCACGAGATGTCGAGTACACGAGCCATCGACGAACAGGTCGCCCTCGAACCACTCCTGGATGTCACCCCCCTCCTCCGTCCAAATCACCTCGATGCCCTCAGACGTGCACGGCTGCGGGAAGTCGGAGGGGTGGGGGAAGACCCCGTAGCAGGCCAAATCGTCGTCGGCCTTAGTTGCCCATTCTTGCACCTCCTGCTTAAATAGAGCATCCCTAAGCTCGACCACCTCGGGGCAACGGCACTCCCATAGGCGGTGTCTAAGGGTATCTAAGCCTTCCTCGCACAGCGGGCACACCGTCGTGGGCAGCACGTAACCTAAGCTTGCGGCACGCTGACGGGTGTAAATCGCCTGGCGAAAAAAGCGAGCGGAGGCAGCCTTTCTGATACATGGTGTATTTAGAGCTTTTGAGGTAACTAAGGACGGGCTCCACACAAGCCCTGCCCTTCAGATCAAGCCTGGCCCCCAGGTCCTACTCGAGCCCCCTCAGAACAGCCTTGCGCAGGAGGGACCGAACCAGCTGGGGCGAAAACCCGGTGAGCTTAAGCTCCTCACCACGAGGAGGATGAGGAGGAGGAGGAGGAGGCGGAGGCCGAGGCGGAGGCGGAGGAGGAGGAGGAGGCGGAGGAGGAGGAGGAGGAGGAGGAGGCGGAGGCGGAGGCGGAGGCGGAAGCGGAGGCGGAGGGGGAGGAGGAGGAAGAGGAGGAGGAGGAGGAGGAGGAGGAGGAGGGGGAGGGGCAGGGGGAGGATGGGGGGGAATTATTATTACTAATAATCAGAATAAGCAGAAGAAGCAGACGAAGCAGAAGACGACGACTAACACGAATACTACTCATAAGAAGAATAATACTAAGCATTCGAATGCCAATACGACTCATAATAATAAGAATAAACATACTTGTAATACGAATAATAATAATGATAATAAAACTGATAAAAATAAGGGTGACACTAATAATAACAATGGTACTAACAATCATACTACTACTACTACTACTACTACTACTACTACTACTACTACTACTACTACTACTACTAGTACGACTACTACTACTACTAATAATAATAATAATAATACGAATGATAATAACACTGATGATGATAATAATAATAATAATACTGATAACAACAATAATACTACTAATACTAATAAGAATCCTAATCGTACTAATAATAGTAACAGTAATAATAATAATAATTATTCACTGCGTGGGGATCCCCATATGTGCATCTCCTTGCTGGCGCTCCCTTGGTGGTGGGACACGGTGAGGACGAATCTGGATTCAAGTGTGACTGAGCTGCCTCTCTCTCTCTCTCTGCTCTCTCTGTCTCTCTCTCTCTCTCTGCCCTCTCTCTGTCTCTGCCTCTCTTTCCCTGCCTCTCTCTCTCTCTCTGCCTCTCTCTCTGCCTCTCTCTCTCTGCCTCTCTCTCTCGCTCTGCCTCTCTCTCTGTGCCTCTCTCTCTCTGCCTCTATCTCTGCCTCTCTCTCTCTCTCTCTCTTTCTCTCTCTCTCTCTCTTCTCTCTATTCTCTCTCTGCTCTCTCCTCTCTCTCTCACTCTCCCTCTCTCTCTCTCTCTCTCTCGCTCTCTCTCTTCTCTTCTCTTCTCTCTCTTCTCTCTCTCTCTATCTCTCTCTCTCTCTCTCTCTTTCTCTCTCTATCTCTCTCTCTCTCTCTTCCCTCGCTCTCTCTCTCTCTCTCTCTCTCTTCTCTCTCTCTCTCTCTCTCTCTTTCGCTCTCTCGCTCTCTCTTGGTCTCTCTCGCTCTCTGTCGCTCTCTCTCGCTCTCTCTCTCTCTCTCTCGCTCTCACTCGCTCTCACTCGCTCTCTCTCGCTCTCTCTCGCTCTCCCTCGCTCTCTCCCGCTCTCTCTCTCTCTCTCTCTGCTCTCTCTCTCTCTCTCTCTCTCTCTCTCCCGGGCTGCCACGGCCGCAAGGGCTCCCCGGAGGGACCGGCACCCGCGCACGGGGCCCTTGCGGCAGCCGGAAGGCGGCGGTCCGCCTGCAGAGCGCCGCCTTCGGCGGTGAGCTCCGCAGGCCGCTTTAATTGTGGGCAGCGCCAAAAGACGGAGGCGTACAAGGGGAGAGGGAGGAGCGGAGGCGGCGGAGGTCGTCGGGGGGTCGTCGGACGTCGGTCGGCGGTCGTCGTCGTTGCCGCCGTGGCTGCGCTGTTGCCGTGGTTGCCAGGCCGCTGGCCCCCGATTTCAGCGCGCTCCTCGGCGGTTGCCACTGGCTGTGGCGGCGGCGCCGCCTATAGTGCAGCAGCGGCGGTGGCCGCATCGGCGCGGCTGAGGGGTCCGTCTCTCTCTCTCTCTCTCTATCTCTCCCCCTCTCTCTCTCTCTCTCTCTCTCTCTCTCTCTCTCTCTCTCTCTCTCTCTCTCTCTCTCTCTTTCTCTCTTTCTCTCCTTCTCTCTCTCTCTCTCTCTTCCTCTCTCTCTCTCTCTTTTCATCGCTCTCTCTCTCTCTCTCGCTCGCTCGCTCGCTCGCTCGCTCTCTCTCTCTCTCTCTCTCTCTCGCTCGCGCTCGCGCTCGCGCTCGCGCTCGCGCTCGCGCGCTCTCTCTCTCTCTCTCTCGCTCTCTCCCGCTCTCTCTCTCTCTCTCTTTTCTCTCTCTCTCTCTCTCTCTCTCTCCTCTCTGCTCTCTTCGCTACTGGCTTCTGACGGAGTCTGGGTTAGGTGAGCCTGAGTGTGGGTGAGTCTGAGTATGGGTACGTCTGTGTGTGCCTGACTCTGAAGAAATGAATCTGAGTGTGAGTGAGCTTGTGTATGAGTGAGTCTGGGTGCGAGTCTGAATCCCAATGGTGCCCCTGGCAGTGTCTGGCGACTAGGAGGCCCGGGTCGACTCCTCTTTGGGAAGCCAAAATGCTGCCCCTGGCAGCGTTTGGTGACTATGAAGCCCCTGGTGGACCCCCCCTGGGGCTCCCAAATGATGCCCCTGGCAGCGTTTTGTGACCATGAGGCTCTCAAGAGATACATGTTGGGGACGCCAAACGGCAATTCTAGCTGAGGCGTCCCACCAAAATCGGCGCGAACGGGCTCGTGAGATCAGCCAGGGTGGCTCCCCCTTGGGGCTCCCAAATGATGCCCCTGGCAGCGTTTTGCGGCCATGAAGATCTCAAGAGATACATGTTGGGGGCGCCAAACGGCAATTCTAGCTGAGACGTCCCACCAAAATCGGCGGAAACGGGCTCGTGAGATCAGCCAGGGTGGCTCCCCCTTGGGGCTCCCAAATGATGCCCCTGGCAGCGTTTTGTGACCATGAGGCTCTCAAGAGAGACATGTTGGGGAGGCCAAACGACAATTTTAGCTGAGACGTCCCACCAACATCGGCGCGAACGGGCTCGTGAGATCAGCCAGGGTGGCTCCCCCTTGGGGCTCCCATATGATGCCCCTGGCAGCGTTTTGCGACCATGAGGCTCTCAAGAGATACATGTTGGGGGCGCCAAACGGCAATTCTAGCTGAGACGTCCCACCAAAATCGGCGCGAACGGGCTCGTGAGATCAGCCAGGGTGGCTCCCCCTTGGGGCTCCCAAAAGATGCCCCTGGCAGCGTTTTGTGACCATGAGGCTCTCAAGAGAGACATGTTGGGGAGGCCAAGCGGCAATTTTAGCTGAGACGTCCCACCAAAATCGGCGCGAACGGGCTCGTGATATCAGCCAGGGTGGCTCCCCCTTGGGGCTCCCAAGTGATGCCCCTGGCGGCGTTTTGTGATCATGAGGCTCCCAAGAGAGACATGTTGGGGAGGCCAAACGGCAATTTTAGCTGAGACGTCCCACCAAAATCGGCGCGAACGGGCTCGTGATATCAGCCAGGGTGGCTCCCCCTTGGGGTTCCCAAATGATGCCCCTGGCAGCGCTTTGTGATCATGAGGCTCTCACGAGAGACATGTTGGACAGGCCAAGCGGCAATTTTAGCTGAGACGTCCCACCAAAATCGGCGCGAACGGGCTCGTGATATCAGCCAGGGTGGCTCCCCCTTGGGGCTCCCAAATGATGCCCCTGGCAGCGTTTTGTGGTCATGAGAGAGTGCGGGTGAAATCTCTTATCTTGTCTTAGCTTATCTTATATCAACTCATCTTATCGCATCATATCTTGTCTTATCTTATTACTCCATAGGCTGTCTTATCTTATCTATTATCCTACCTTGTCATATATCTTATCTTACCTTATCAGATCTTGTGCTATATTATCTAATCTTGTAGTATCTTATCTTGTCTTGTCTTATCTGGTGATTATCATTGGGAGGAGGGAGGCGCGAGCGGGAGGAAGGAGGAGCAGTGGGAGGCGCCAGAGTAATAACAAGAACCCCAATCCTTAGTATATTGGGAATTATTCGCAATAATAGCAACCATGAGATTGATCATAGTAATAATACTACTAATACTAATACTAAGAATCGTAGTAATAATACTAATAATCATAACATGACTAATAATGATAATAATAATGATAGTAATACTATTAATATCCATCATCATCAGCAACAGCATCATCATCAGCATAATAATACGCATAAGAAGCAGGAACATACTCAGAAGAAGAATACGAGGAGGAAAAGGAGGAGGATGAGGAGGAGCAGCAGGAGCAGGAGCAGGAGCAGGAGCAGGAGCAGGAGCAGGAGCAGGAGCAGGAGCAGGCGCAGGATCAGGAGCAGGAGGAGGAGGAGGAGGAGGAGGAGGAGGAGGAGGGAGGAGGTGAGGAGGGAGAGGGAGGATAGGAGGGAGGAGGAAGGAGGGATGAGGGAGGAGGGAGAGGAGGGAGGATGGGTGGAGAGGAGGAGGAGGAGGAGGACGGAGGAGGAGGAGGATGGAGGAGGAAGAAGAGGAGGAGGAGGAGGAGGTGTAGAGGAGGAGGAGGAGGAAGGAGGTGAGGAGGCGGAGGAGGAGGAGGGAGGGGAGGAGGAGGAGGAGAGGAGAGGCGGAGGAGGAGGAGGAGGAGGAGGAGGAGGGAGGAGGAGGAGAGGAGGAGGAGGAGGAGGAGGAGGAGGAGGAGGAGGGGGGGGAGGGGGGGAGGAGGAGGAGGAGGAGAGGAGGAGGAGGAGGAGGAGGAGGAGGAGGAGGGGAGGAGGTGGAGGAGGAGGAGGAGGTGGAGGAGGAGGAGGAGGAGGTGGATGAGGGAGGAGGAGAAGGAGAAGCGGGACGGAGTGTCGGAAGGAGGAGGAGGAGGAGGAGGAGGAGGAAGGAGGACTGGAGGGTAGGAGGGCGGGGAGGTGGAGGAGGAGGAGGAGGAGGAGGGGAGGAGGAGGAGGAGGAGGTGGAGGAGGAAGGAGGGATGAGGAGGGCGGAGAGGAGGACGGCGGAGGAGGAGGAGGAGGAGGCGGAGGAGGAGGAGGAAGAGGAGGAGGAGGAGGAGGAGGAGGAGGAGGAGGTGGAGGTGGGAGGAGGGAGGAGGGAGGAGGCTGGAGGAGGAGGTTGGGGGAGGAGGTAGGAGAGTGAGGAGGAGGAGGAGGAGGAGGAGGAGGATGGTGGGGGAGGGGGGGAGGAGGGAGGCGGGAGGGAGGAGGGAGAGGGAGATAGGGGTGAGGACGAGCAGTGAGGACTAGGAGGAGGGAGGAGGAGGAGGCGGAGGAGGAGGAGGAGGGAGGAGGAGGAGGAGGCGGAGGAGGAGGAGCGGGGAGGGGGAGGGGGGGGGAGGGGGAGGGAGAGGGAGAGGGGGAGGACGAGCAGGAGGAGGAGGAGGAGGAGGAGGAGAAGGAGGAGGAGGAGGAGGAGAAGACGATGCCAGGACCAAGACAAAGTCGGACCGGGATACATCGATCGATCGGAGGTTGCTGAAGATGCCCCTGGCCAAAGGTGCCCCCAGCTTTTCGTTTCATTTTGGAGCCCCTGGGGGCCTCCTTGGAAATCCCAGGGAAACCTCGGGCCTGGGGACACCCGGACATCTGGTGCGGGCCCACTGGGACCCCCGATCACCGAGCGCGATGCGACAGTACAGTCGACCCGCATGGTAAGGATAGGCAACCTTCCCGAGGGTACCCTTGCATCCTTGCCCCTTCGACCCATCCTCAGCGACTTTCGCTGGCCAACCGCGTTCGAAAAACGTTGACATGGGCCTCCAAGGCCCTTGCATCCTTACTGCGCATCCTTATGATACGGGACGACTGCAGCGCCTGGCTGGCCTGCGTGGTTGGTCCCCTCGCGGCCCCCAAAAAGCCGCGCACCAGAGGTCCCTGCTATGCCCAGGGTCACTCTTGCGAGCAGCCGAGAGTGCGACACATGGGGGGGGGAGAAAGGTGGTGCGCCCTCTGTGCCCCGAGCAGGGGCCCCCCCAGAGGGGGGGCCCCACGAGGGGCACGCGACGTGCACGTTCCCCCCCCACCACTCCCCCCTCCCCCCTTTTCGCTCACGCTCCCGAGGTGGCCAGGGCGGCCTCCACTTCTCCACGGAGTCGGCGGGCGAGCTGCGCCAGACGCCGTGGATGTCCTTCGGCGGGGTCGGCCTCAAGGCCGGGTGGGCACCGGCGGCCAGCGGCGGCGGCGCCGAGGGGGGGGGAAGCGAGATGGGGGCGGCGGCAGCGCCAGGGTCGGTGCAGGCGCACAGATCGGGGGCGCTCAAGAGGGGAGTGATGACGAGGATAAGCGAGGAGGAGGTGGAGGTGGAGGAGGAGGAGGAGGAGGAGAAGGAGGAGGAGGAGGAGGTGGAGGAGGAGGAGGATGGATCCAGCCAGCCAGTCAACACTGCCCGTGCAACGCCCGCGACAGCGTCGGACATCCCCTCCACGGGGGCGGGCAAGAGAGAGTGATGACTAGGGTGATGACTAGGAGGCCGTGGCCGTGCTATCTCCCCAGACTTCATTTCAAAACGTCCAGGCCCCCCCCCTGGGCCGCGCACGTGCCGCCGGCCATGATTTGCGCCCCCCCCCTCTTGGACGCCCCTCTCTTGGACGCCCCCGAGAAGCGAGAGGGGGCAGACCTCGGGGAGGTGTTTCTCAGAAACACGCCGGAGTTCTGAGAAGCCCAGCTGGAGTTCTGAGAAACCGTCTTGGCCTGCGTATAGGCCTACCAATGAATCTTCTAAGATTATCTTGTGGTTTCACGAGTTCTTCTGAAAGCGTTGCTGGCTGAGACCGTCTTGTTTTTTCGACATCGGGTTTATGTTCTAAGAACCTTGCTTTGGTTATTAGAACATTGCTGGCATCTGCGAAAAAAATCGTGGCAGGCCTACAGGAATGCCGGTCGGTCGGTCGCTGCTCCAGTCTGTGACTCCAGAGAGGGGCTACAATCAGGAGGGAAAGAAACACACAGACATGATTAATCGTCGATTCCCCAGAAAATATGATAAAATATGGCAAGGGGGGAAGACAACAACCCAGAACATATGGAAACTATGGGTGATCTTCTTATTTGTGTGCACTTATGTGTGTGTGTGTGTGTGTGTGTCCTTGGGCCCCTTGCTACAAGGCCTCTCAGGAGGCGCGACGGCTTCTGAGAGGCCCCGCCGCCTCCTGAAAATCAGCCGGGGAAAACACCCACAGACACAATGAATCGTCGAGCCCCCAGAAAATATGGGAAGTGTTGGGGAAGACAGAAGCCCCCAAAATATTTGAAAATATGGGGGATCGTGGGATTTGTGTGCATTTATTTGTGTCCCTGGGCCCCATGAGAAAAGTCCTGCCCCCTCAGACTTCCTCCCTCGGCACGCCGCCGAAGCTAATTAGTGCGAAGGCCTTGCGGCCGGCGCCGCCGACCCGGAAGGGGGACGACGACGAAGACAGCGACGATGAGAATGCTCAACAGGTAATGCATGGGAGAGGAGGAGAAGAGGGGGACGGAGGAGGCGAAGGGTAATGGGAACAGGATGGAGGAGGGAAGATAATTAGGAGGAGGAGGAGGACGAGGAGGAGGAGGAGGAGGAGGAGGTGGGATGAGAAGCCAGATAGCGGAGAAACCGGCACTTCGCCGAAACTATTCACCATTCACCTGCGCCGATTCTGGCCAGGCCGATCCTGGGCCCAGGATCGGTGTACCTCGCCACCCACCAGACCACCCCAATCCAACCCGCAGGCCCCAACTTGCCCTCCATTCCCCATGGGGCGGGGCTTCGAGGAACATTCGAAAAACACGTGAAGAACCCGAAATTCGGGTCTTCGGGCCTGGTTGAGGTGGCTTGGTAGGTAGTCAGTACCTGCCCAAGCCAGGGTGGCATGCGCACCGATCCTGGACCCGGGATGGGCCTGGACAGGATCGGTGCAGGTGTGCAGTCAAGACGCTTTGGGATGGGCAGGCGTCCACTAATCGACCCCCTTCGTGAAGACGCGTTTTGGGTACAGTCGGACCGAGGCATACGATCGAGTTCGGTTCGGGGAGGTACCCTTATGTTCTTCGTGCTGGTTGGACGCTCTTGTGCTTCCCTGGGAGGGTGCACTCGGATGATCTGTGTGTTTTGGCCGACGGAGGGTCTCATGTTCTTGGGGGATGTTCTTCTGGCCTAGGTCCGACTCCAACTGTAGGTGTGCAGTCAAGACGCTTTGGGATACTAATCGACCCCCCTTCTTGAGGACACGTGTTGGCTACAGTCAGACCGAGGTATACGATCGAGATCGGTTTGGGGAGGGTACCCTCATATTATTCGTGTTTGTTGGACGCTCTTGTGTATCTGGGGAGGGCACCCTCGGATGCTCTCTGTGTGTTGCCCGTCGAAAGGGCTCATGTTCTTGAGGGATGTTCTTCTTGCCCTGGTCCGACTCCGACTGTATGTGTGCAGGGCTTTGGAATAGGCAGGCGTCTACTAATCGACCACCCTTCTTTAGGACGCGTGTTGGCTACAGTCGGACCGAGGTATACGATCGAGGTCGGTTGGGGGAGGGTACCCTCGTGTTCTTTGTGTTTGTTGGACGCTCTCGGCGGAGGGTCTCATGTTCTTGAGGGATGCTCTTCTGGCCCAGGCCCGACTCCGACTGCATGTGTGCAGTCAAGACGCTTTGGCGTGGGCGGGCGCCCTTCTTTAGGATGAGTTTTGGGTACAGTCGGGTCGAGGTATAATCGGGCCGGGCGAAAGGGGGGGATTGGGAAAGGGGGGGTTACGAAATTTGCTGCATGCAGCTGGGGCCCATTCCTCGATACATAGCCGCCTCCGGCGCCGGGAGGCGCCGGGAAAATCAGCCACGTGAGCTGATTCTCAAACCCCCCCTTTGCTATCCCCCCCTTTCGCCCGACCCGATATAAGATCGAGGTCTGTTCGGGCAGGGCACCCTCATGTTCTTCGTGTTTGTTGGACGCCCTTGTGCATCCTGGGGAGGGTACCCATCGCATGTTCTCTGCGTGTGAGCGTTGGCCGGCGGAGGGGCGGATATTCTTGAGGGATGTTCTTGTGACTCAGGAGAGGAAAAAACACACAGACACAATTAATCGGCGATTTCCCAAGAAAATATGGGAAAATATGTCAAGCGGGGGGGAAGCCAGAAACCCAGAAAATATAGGAAAATATGGGGAATCCTTTTATTTGTGTGTATTTATTTGTGTGTGTCCCAGTTTCCCTTCAGCGACATCAGTCCGATTCGGACTGTAGGTGTGCAGTCAAGACGTTTCGGGATGGGCAGTTGTCCACTAATCGACCCCCCTTCTTTAGGACGCGTTCTGGCCTGTTGGACCGAGGTATACGATCGAGATCGGTTCGGGGAGGGTACCCTCATATTCTTCGTGTCTGTTGGACGCTCTTGTGCATCCCAGGGATGGTACCCTCGGATGCTCTGCGTGTGTTGCCCGTCGGAGGGGCTCATGTTCTTGAGGGATGCTCTTCTGGCCTAGTTCGACTCCGACTGTATGTGTGCAGACAAGACGTTTTGGTTTGGGCAGGCGTCCACTACATTGGAGGTCTATGCCAAGAAACACCCTGCTTGCCTCCAGGGTGCCCCGAGTTTCTTGGGATTCGATGGTTTTGCTATGGAATGCGAGCCGCTCACACGCAAACAATCGAACACATCGATGGACGTCCTGGGATCTCAGGGTTGGGTTTCTTGTGAAAGGTTTCTTGTGGTCGAGCCCCTACTGTTATCGACCACCTCCTTTAGGACGCGCTTTGGGTAGGTCCTGTGGCCCCTTGAAGGCCAACGCTGGCATTCCCGACGACCACGCCCCACACACGGCAATTGCATTTTGGATGGGTTTGTGAGCGTTGTCTGATACATTGTTTTGCCGATCGGCGCGGGCCCTTGCGCTCCCCACCCACCCTCAGAGTAGATCTTTGCTGTTTGTGGCGCCTGTTTCGAGCAGGTGGTGTCCCTCCCCCATGGGACGCACTGCTGCAAACAGTCGCACTAAGCAGAGGTCCAGAGCCAGACTCCCCCCCTCCCCTCCCCACTTCCGCCCAATGACGAGACGCCGAATAAGAAGACGCTCGCTTTGGGGAACCGTGCTTTGCATTCTCGACGAGTTTTGCAATCTCACGTGAGTTGTTGCACTTGGCGTGGCCCCTACGCCCGCGAAGCATAGCGGCCAAGCGCCCACGCCAGAAGGCGCTGAAGCAAGGACCACCTTGTGATCGTTGTTGTATTCCTTGTTTCGTCGATCGGCGCGGGGCCTCGCCCCCCCCCCTTCCCCCCCCCATGGAGTAGATCTTGGAGTAGTTCTGGGCGTCTGTTTCGAGCAGGTGGGATCTCCCATCATAGGACGCACTGTCGCAAACAGTCGCACTAAGCAGAGGTCCAGATTCCCCCCCCCTCCCCCCCCCCTTCCGCCCAATGTCGAAACGCCGCATGACAACAAAAACGCTCACCCTGGGAGCAGGAGTGGAGCCCGTTCGTGGCCGAGGCTCGCCGTGGCCAGAGCAGCTCCCTGTCACTCGCAGCACGATGGCTGTGCAGCCAGTGCCCTCCCGTGTAGGGCTGTTCCATGTAGGGCCCGCCCAGCCCAATGTTCATCCCCCTCCTCCTTCTCCTCCTCCTCCTCGGAGAGCCGACAGTCTGTTAGACAGTTCTGTTTGACAGCTCCGCGACGTGTGAACGTGCACGAGGCGAGCCGACAGTCTGTTAGACAATTGATTATGTTTTTCAGACGCCGCCCTCCGTCCCTGAAGTTGCATTTTACAAAAGTGCCCTCCCACAAGGTGGTCTGGGGCCACACCAGCAGTGGCGTCAAGTACCTCAACGTCCTCCTGAAGCACGTGAGCCAGGCCGGCGTCACGGTCGGAGGCCTCCTCGGCGTGGACGACCACTCTTGGGCGGCGTCCCGCAGCGCGAGCTGCATGCGCCCGGTGCTCCGCGGGAGGCAACGGCACCGACTCCTCCCCAGACTTAGGTCGGGCATGTCCCCCTACAGGGAGATTTGGGAACGGAAAATCCAAAATGCACCAAAAGTGCGCAAAGGATGCCCCAAACATATTTTTAGCACAAATCCTCCCTGGACCATGTTTTGACTGTCTTTGGATATTCCTCCTTCAGAAGAGGAGGAGGAGGCGGAGGAGGAGGAGGAGGATAATGAAAAGGAGGAGGAGGAGGAGGAGGAGGAGGAGGAGGAGGGAGGGAGGAGGGAGGGAGGGAGGAGGATGGAGGGAGGAGGGAGGAAGAGGGAGGGAGGGAGAGAGGGAGGAGGGAGGGAGGGAGGGTCAGGCCCGACCTAACCCCAGACGTGCTCGCGTCGTGGAAGCGCCGCTGGCGGGAGGTTCTTCGGCCGTTCCCTCGGCCTCCGTGGGCCGGCGCCCAAGCCTGGGGCCGTCGAAGAGCGGCTCGGGCCCGCTGCTCCCTGGCCTTACGTCGGGCCTGTCCCTCCACAGGGGGGATAATTCTAAGATGGTCAAAAAATAGCACAGGGACGATCTGTTATGCACTTGTTGGGTATATTATGCACTTGTTCGTCCAAGCTCCCGCTGTCGGGGGTCATGCCCGACCGAACCCTGGCCAGGCCCGTCCTGAACCCAGATGATGATGATGATGATGATGATGATGATGATGATGATGATGATGATGATGATGATGATGATGATGATGATGGTGATGGTGATGGTGATGGTGATGGTGATGGTGATGGTGATGGTGATGATGATGATGATTATTTTGATGATGATGATGATGATGATGATGTCGATGATGATGATGATGACGATGATGATGACGATGATAATGACGATGATAATGACGACGACGATGATGATGATGATGGTGATGATGATGATGGTGATGATGCTGATGGTGATGACGCTGCTGCTGATGATGATGATGTTGATGATGATGACGACGTGGATGATGATGATGATGATGATGATGATGATGATGGTGGTGGTGATGATGACGGTGGTGACGATTATGATTATGCTGATGAGGATGAAAAGTATGATGATGGTGGTGATGATGCTGATGGGCAAGATGATTATGATGATGATGCTGATGCTGATGACGATGATTACGATGATGACGATGCTGCTGCTGATGATGATGATGATGCTGATGATTGTGATGATTGTCATGGTGATGGTGATGCTCATGACAATGACGATGACGATGATATGATGCTGATGATGATGATGATCATGATTAGGTTCATCATCATCATCATCATCATCATCATCATCATCATCATCGTCATCATCTCGTGCATACAGTGGAGACCCATGCCAAGAAACACCCTGCTTGACTCCAGGGTGCCCTGGGTTTCTTGGGTTTCGATGGTTTTGCCCTGGAAGGCGCGACGTTCCTAGATTCAAAGTTCATAGATGTCCTGGGGTTTCAGGGTTGGTTTCTTGTGACAGGTTTCGTGTGGACTGGCCTCCGCTTTACGCCACGCGCTCCTGGCTTGGCCGAGAGGGCGTACATACAGCTCCTGGTGGCCCAGGACGGGCGTGGCCAGGGAGCAGTGGCTGTGCATAGGTTAAGTCGGGCACGTCCCTCGGAATATTCAAAACTAATCCAGAAATAGTCAGGTGACGATGTTTGACCACGTTTGATCATGTTTGAGTCTTTTCTGGTATGATTTATTTTTCGTCCAAAAAGCGCCTGTAGGAGGACATGCCCGGTCTAAGCATAGATTTCGTCGCCCGTCTTGTGGAAAGTGTCGCGATTTCCGGGGACCCCGTATCGACAAATCCGAGACACCGCGTGCCTGGGGCTACCCTTAAGGAAACGAATAATGACACAAACATAACAACTCGGAGGTCCGCGCGGATTTCTCGGATCCATGTTGGCAGCGCCTCCGGCGCCGCCCCTGGCGCGCTCCGCGCGCCAGGGAGGGGGTCCAGCGCGGATCCGAGAAATCCGTGCGGACCTCAGAGTTTTTGTGTTTCTGTCGTTGTTTGTTTCCCCAACTTCGGGCGTCCAAGCTTGAGGTGGAGAAGGGCTGGGATTTCGGAGGATAAATGCAAGGAGGATTTCGGAGGAAAAATGCAAAATATTAAAAATGCTCAAACATTGTCAAGTCGTCCAGCGCGGATCCGAGCAATCCGCGCGGACCTCCGAGTTTTAACGTTTATGTCATTTCGTCGCCACTAGATTTAGGTCGGGCGTGGCGGATTTTGGACGAAATATACAAAATATCCGAAACGAAGAATTCAAAATAGTCAAAAATAATTCGAAACTCCTCCCCAGACAATGTTTGTTCACTTTCTTTGGATATTCCTCCTGTAGGGGGACGTGCCCGACCCACCGCTAGCTTCGCCTCGACGTCCTGGCCCGAGCGCGCTCGTGGCGTTTGCTCCCTGCCCCCCCCACAGGTCGCCCTGGGCAAGGTGGGCATCGCGGCACGCGAGGGACCGGCCTCGGCCGAGCACGCCCCGGTCGTGCTCGAGGCGTCGGTTGCGACCTGGGAGTGAGCGCCAGTGTCGACCTTGGGTGAGCGCTGGGGATCAACCTCCTCCTCCTCCTCCTCCTCCTCCTCCCCCTCCTCCTCCTCCCCCTCCTCCCCCTCCTCCTCCTCCTCCCCCTCCTCGGTCGTGTTGAATGCGGACATTCGCCCTCATCGACCCGTCAGTGTCAGGTTCCATCAGTCGCTTGCGGACCTTCAGGTCCTCTCTTTTGTGCGCCCCCCTCCGATCCCAGGACCCCTCCCTGTCGGGCCCTTCCCCCAACCTTCCAGCTGGCAGGATACTCTCGACTGTGCCGAGCATGCCCTTCGGGGGCTCCCAAATCGTCCATCCAGCGTCATGTGAGTTTGTTATATAAGCTTTGGGCCAATCAGTCTGAAGAGGAGCTTGAGGCTGCGTACCAGATGGTTCTGCCGATCCGAGGAACTCGTGGCAAGGTTCCCAAGCTCGCGTGGAAGTCGGTGCTCGCCCAAGACCGCAGCCGCAAGCCCAGGCAGCCTGCGCTCTACGCTCTCAGGTGGCTCGAGGGCAGTTTGAGGATGTTCATCGTTTGCGCTAGCACGGACCGCTGGTGCCAGGCCAGGGATATCTCCAAAGTGTTGTTATCGCCACCCAGAGACATAAGTGATCATTTGTTTTCGTTTCTGCACCTGGCCCAGCGTGTCCAAGATCACGTGAAACCAATGTTTGACGGCGCCACGGACATAGGAGACCTGTGGCAGGCTGCGGGTCATGACACCCTTGCGGCCTTGAACGAGGCTCTCGGCAACTACTCGGCCACTGCCAGGGCCGCGGCAGCCGCTATTTGGAAGGAGTGGTTGTGTGACTGGCTGGAGGGGGGAGGGAAGCGTGCTCATAATTGGACCCGCCCCCCCACTGCCTGGACCCCCACCCACACCGTCTCCTCCAAAGGTAAGGTTTTAGCGGGCCCCAAAAGTTTGTTGCAGACTGAGTGTGCTCGTTTCTCGGGGCTTTGGAGGGCCCAGGAGGCCCCTTTCCCCCCCAAGCAGGGCTCTGTCAAGTTTTAGGAACCGTTAGAGTGGCTTGAACCCGAATGCATTCGGAAGGCCTCCAGGTCGTACAAGCCTGCCTCCGCCGTCGGAGTCGACGGGTTTCACATGCGGCACTTCCAGGCACTTAGTGATGCCGCCCTCCATGTTTTGATGACCCTCTGGTCGGTTATGGAAAGCACTGGTGTGATCCCGAAGCAGGTTCGCATTTTGAGTTTGGCCCTTCTTGAACAACCGACTGGGGGATGGAGGCCGATCGGCATATTTGCTGGCTTTTACAGGCTCTGGGGAAGGCTGCGGCGGCCCATCCTCCAGGCGTGGGAGACCAGCGTGCACAGGCCCTACCTTGCCGCCTCGGCCTTTGCTGGAACAGGGGACGTTGTCGGGCGGCAGTCGCTCCGCTCGGAGGCTGCAGTGACCAATTCGCAGGTGTCTTGCAGCATGCTATGGAACCTCCACGAACTCTTCGAAACCATCTGCTTCGAAAAGCTCAAGGATCGCTGCAAGCACCTTGGCTTCCCGCCGCCGATTGCCTACGTCTGCCTCAACATGTATGCAGGACCGCTTTTTATCATGTTGGGCACGATGGTCCAAGGACCATTTTTTGCGCTTGGAGGTGTCATAGCTGGGTGCTCGGCCGCCACCAGCTTTGTGCGTGCTTTTGTTTTTCCGTATCTTGACCTCTTATCTCCGAGAGTGCAGCGTTGCCTCGATGTTTACATTGATGACTACGGTTATTCGGTTCAGGCTCGCCCGTGTTCGATCGTTAACAACGTCGTCGAAGCAGCGAGAGAGCTTCACCACGTTATCACGGAAGATATGGATTGCACGATATCCCTCGATAGGGCTTCTCTCGTTTGTTTCTCCTCCCCTCACGGTGATCGCATCAAGAAGCTGCTGGGTCCATTGGCTGGACAGCCAAAGGCCACTGCTGTGATTCTGGGTGTTGATGAGACGGCGGGCACGGGGAGGAGAGGTGGTCGGAGAGGTATAAAGTATGCTAAAAGGTGCCGTATATTTAAACAGCGGCAGGCGAGGTTCCAGCGGTGCAAGGCCATGCTTGGCCGACACACGTGCCGCATTTTGTGCACGGGCCCGCTTGCAGGATTGAATTATGACGCAGACACCCAAGATACTTCACACTTTGAACTCGCCTGTGGCCGAAGAGCCTTAGGAGCCACCCTGAAGCCTTCCTCGGGCCGGCGTTCCCTCACTCCCCTCCTTATCCTCTACCAAGACCCCACGTGGAGGGCCGCTGTGGCCCCGATCGCTCGGTTTTCGAAAGAGGTTTGGGGAGCCCAGACGAGGTTGTCTGATCATGCGTTGCCTTTCTCTGTGCTGGGTGCGGCTTGGAAAACTAGCTTCGTTGACCACCCCGCCCCCGTTTGGCGTCAGGTCCGAGGCCCCATGCAGGCCATGCGTTTATCTCTTGTTAGGATTGGATGGCACATGCCATTTTGGCGTACGCTCGTCAACAATTTCGGTGACGAGATCCCGCTCACGGCTACGTCGCCAGCTCTCGTGGCAGATCTTTTGTTTGAGGGTGTCATCCGCTCGCACCAGAGGGCGGCGGGTGACAAGATCGGGAGTGGGAGGATGTGCTTTGATGCCGTTGCCTCAGAGTTGCGGCGCTCGGCCCTCAAACCGCGCGATCGAGGGGTGATCAGGATGATCACCTGCGACGGCGCCTGGACTAAACACCGCGCCATCGAGCGCGGGTGCCTGCTTCAAGACAATATTTGCCAGCTTTGCGGCGTTGCTCCTGATAATTTGCTTCACCGACTGTGGCAGTGCCCGAGCGTTTCTGATCAGCGCCAAGAGGCCTGCGACGCTGCCATTGTGCAAGACGCCCTACGTGCGATTGACGAGGACAGTGACAGTGGAAAGATTTTATTTTCAAGGGGTATCTTCCTTCACCCAGGGGACTGGCTACCGAGGCCTTCGGAGGCTGGAAATATCGTCCACGTTTTTGCTGGTGGTCCAGGGTCTGCCCCTGGTGCCGCCGGAGTTTCTGGTGGTGTTTTCTGGGACGGTTCGTCGTACAAGCATGTCACCAAGGAGCTGTCAAGGGCGGGCCGGGGCTTTGTGTCTGTGGACCCTCAAGGGGAAGTAATTGTTTCTGTCTCGGGGGCGGTGTCCAAGCCCTTTTCCCCAGACATCGCAGGCTGGGGAGTACAGTGCGTGCTCTGCGACTGCTCAACGCTTGGAAGGGCCCACAACGGGATATGCGGATTGTGAAGGGGTCGCCAGGGCCCATTCGGCACCAAGAGCTGCGCGATTTTCATATAAGAAGAAATAGTATGGCAGTGCAGTTTTTTCTTCCTCCAAGTTCTGGCGTGATGTGAGGAAAGTTAAGGCTCACACTGTCGAGTCTGCAGACATGACTGAAAAGGAGAAATTGTTTAAGCTTGGCAATGACGCGGCCGACAGAGCTGCGAAGCACGGCGCGTCGCTCCACCCGCAGGCCAGCGCGGACGAGATGGCGCAGATAGATCGTATAGTTGCCACTGCCCGTGCCGTCTGTAGAGTTCCCGCCGCGGTTTTGCCCAGCTGGCCGGAGTTAGATCTCAGTGAAGTGCAGCGTGCCATTCCCATGCCACCTCCTCCTTCGCTTGAGCCCCGCTTCGTTCACCAATGGGAATGGTATCGCGGTGTCTGGCGGTGCATGTGCTGTCTCCGTTTTCGTCGCTGCGCTGAGCGACCATCTTTGACAGGATGTCGTGGTGAGCCACCGCCGTCCGTGCAACTGATTTCGAATTTGGGTCACCGCATGCTTGCTTTGCAGTGCATTGACGAGTCGCCACTTTTCGTCTGCGTCAGGTGCAAAGCCTACACCTGTCTCGGCAGAGTGCTGCGGCTCAGCCGCCAATGTGATCCCGCCAAGACTGGCCGTAATGACTGGGACCGTTGGCGGCTCATGCAGCGTGGGCATCACCCTAAGCTCAAAGGGATTAGTGTCGAGCCCATGCCAGATATGGGTTCGTGAATACCACGGCCATATCCTTTTTGTTCCCTCAGGTCACCTGTAGGGCGGTGTTGAATGGAAAAATTCTTCCTCCTCCTCCTCCTCCTCCTCCTCCTCCTCGAGTCCTCCTCCTCCTCCTCCTCCTCCTCGGGTCCTCCTCCTCGAGTCCTCCTCCTCGAGTCCTGGAGCACATACCTCTACCCTTCGCCCGGTTTCCCCCGTTTCGGCCTCCGCGGAGTCCCTCGTCGCTACCGCTGGATCCGCACGGGAAGGAATCGGAGGTTGGGGGGTGAGATCGCAGTGGGACGGAGACCCCCCAACAGGGAAATCGTTTCGTTTCTTTCGTGTCGTGCGTGAGGGCGAGGCGAAGCTGCATGGGCGCGCGAGAGGAATGAACCCGCTGTTGCTAGGGCGAAGTCAAGACAAATGATTATCCTCCGCCCGCCCGTCCCGTCGTGTCCGCCGCTGCTGGGGCGAAGTCAAGATAAATGATTATCCCCCGCCCGCCCGTTCGTCCGTCCGTCCGTCCAGCATTGGTTCGCGGTGTCCCGTGGTGTCCCGTGGTGTCGTCTGAGTGAGATCGATACTGAGATCGATACTGAGATCGATGTGGCGCCCCGCGGTGTCCCGTGGTTTCCCGTGGTGTCCCGTTGAGTGATATCGATAGTGATATGGATAATGAGATCAACACGTGTCCCGTGGTGTCCCTTGGTGCCCCGTGGATTGAGATCGATAGCGAGATCGATAGTGGGATCGATGTGGTGCCCCGAGGTGTCCCGTGGTGTCCCGTTGAGTGGGAAACCGAAACCGATTTCCTGGTAGGGGGGTTCTCCGTTCCACTTCGATCTCACCCCTCACCTCCGATCGTTGCCCTTCATTTTAAGTGAAGGCTCGCATCCGTACATCCGAGGCCCCCCGAGGAAAGCATCCCATCCTTGCCTCCGTACATACGAGTTGTCGGAGCGACGAATTTGTGATCCACCCCTCAGCCCCAATGTTTGTGATCCCCCGGGTGCTGTTATCAGGTTTATTCGGTCAGCAGAATCTCTCTGATCGGCGTTTGGCTGCCCTCCCCTGGCACGCGACGATAGCCAGGGGGGGCCCAGCGCCGACCAAGGAAATCCTAGTCTGCGGGTATACGCATGGCATTCTCCTTGGCGTGCCCGTGGGTTTCTCCCCTCCCACCTCGGTGCTTGAGCCTGAGGCGGGCTGGGAGGCGCCCGCATGGCAGGCGCTTTGGGGCCGGTCGCTTGCGCGACGGCCGCGGAGCGCTGGTTTGATGGGCAGAGTCGCTGCTGCTGGTGGTACTTTTTAAACCGTGTGCATCTCGCAGGGTCTCACATGTTGCGGCTCATTGTGAAGGCCGTACGTCAGGTGCCGCCGACCCTGAGCACGATGACGAGGACGAGGAGAAGGGTGAGTGGGAGGAGGAGCAGAAGGGGAGGCGGAGGACGGTGGGGGTGAAAGAGCAGTAGGAGGACAAGGATACTGGGAGTCGGAGGAGCAGGAGAAGAAGGAGGACGCGAAGGGGGGGGAGGAGGAGCGGCAGGAAGAGGAGGATGGGAAGGACGAGGCCGAGCAAAATTGCGTAGCACCGGGGGAAGAGCACGCGGGGGAAGGGGGGAGCATGATGAGGAGAATGGTCAGGAGGATCAGAACGATGAGGAGGAGGATGCGAAGGGGGGGGATGAGGAGTCGGGAAAGGGTGAGGAGCAGGAGGACGAGCAGGAGGAAGAGGAGGAGGAACAGGAGGAGGAGGAGGAGGAGGAGGAGGAGAAAGAGGAGGAGGAGGAGGAGGGAGGAGGAGGAGGAGGAGGAGGAGGAGGAGGAGGGGACGCCGTGGAGCAGGAGGGGGCGGATGAGGAAGAGCATGCCGAGGAGGATGAGGGGGAGTTGGGGCAGAAGGAGGTCGAGAAGGGCAATGAGCAGATGGAGGACGATGAAGACGAGGCGGAGGAACAGGAGGAGGAGGAGGAGGACGAGGAGCAGGAGGAGGAGGAGGAGGGTGAGGAGGGGATGCTCGTCGTGGTCTTGTCGGAGCGCTTTCGGTCTGGTGAGCAGTTTGGGGGCGTTTTGGGAGCCTCTTGGGTGCCTCCAGGGGCTTCCTCAGGGTTTCTTGGGGGCGTCTTGGAGGCCTCCTTGTGGCCTCCTGAGAGCTTTGGGGCGAGGGCTCGAGATGTCCGTTCGGGTCCCCCGTCTGGGTACCCTCTGGGAGCCGTCTTGGGTGCCTCTTGGCCTGTCTTGGAGGCGTCTCGGGCCGTCTTGGGGCCCTCTTGGGCCATGTTGGGAACTTCTTGGGGGATTTTGTGCCGTCCTGGTGCGGTCTTTGGGGCCTGTTGAACCGTTTTGGAGCGACTGGAAGCGGAAGAGGCAAGATCGCCAAAATGAATCAAACACCTTAGGACAATGCAAGAATGTTGCGTCTTGGGGCCTTCTTGGGAGTGCTCCCGGAGGCCTCTTGGGGCGTCTTGCAGGCCTCATGGGCCGTCTAGAGGCCGTCAAGGCGTCTTGGACAGATCGGCCGGCGATTCGGAGCTTTTGGGGGACCCGGGACCCCCCAGGAGGGAGGCGTATTTGGGCGATTCCCCAGGACCGCCCCCAGGGGAGTCGTATCTCCCCCGCGAACCCCCTTGGCTCCCCCCCCCGACGGGGAGGGATCAAAGGGAGGCGGCTTCACTTCGATTGAATTACGGCGGGGGAGGGATACGACATTACTCAATTTCGTTTTGGCTGGCGCGCTTGGGGAGGAGGGCCCAGGAAAAGGGGGGGAGCGGTGACGGGCCCAGGGGGCCGCAGGGAAAGGAGCCGGTAGAGACGACGACTCACGAATGACGGTGAGGACGACTCGAACGGACAAGCGCCTCACCCCGACAGGCTCGGCGAATTCAGAGGCTGTCTTTGTCGGCTGCGTTGGTTGGGCTCGCTCGCATGGCACCTCGGAGGTCGGTGTAGGGTCCGTCAGGACAGTTCCGGCCTTCCATGGCGTTTGCTGTCCTCGCTTGAGTCTCCCGGAGGTTTTTCGTCGCCACGGCTGCATCCGGTGCGAAAGCGGCCAGGATGTCAGCGGCACCGCAACGGGTACCCACTAACGGGTACTCTTTGAAATCCGCCGAAAGTTGTCCTTTTATCAGAGCCCCGAATCATCAGGGGTAACTTGGGTCAGGGCTAACTCGGGTTCGTTTTTCCGGGAATGCAAACCCGAATTACCCCTCCTCCTGCTCCTCCTCCTCGTCCTCCTCCTTTTCAGAAGACCTTTCAGTAAGTGCTCCACGGTCGGGCGGGCCTTTCGATGGCGCCGAAGCCCGTCAGTCGGGCGCCTCTTTGTGGGCGCTGAACGTCTCCTCCGTGTCTTCTTTGCGAAGAGCGCCGCCTCCCTTCGGCTCGCAAGCTGAAGGGCGCTCAACCTTCTCTGGTCTTTAGCTTTGCTTGTTGTCGTGAGCTTCTGCCGACCAGACTGGTCGGTTGCTCGGCCTCGCCTGCCACGCGAGGCGGCGGCTCCTCAGGGATGCCTGCCGTGGAGCTCGGTGCTCCATCTTGTACTTTCCCGCTGGTGATCTTTGCTTCGTTGCTGGAGTCGTAGCAGTCTGGCGGCCCGCCCTTCGGCCGCTCACGGGCTGCGGGCCGCCAGTCCTTGGCTTCTCTCTTTCGCGTTGCGGTCATCGCCGTGTCGAAGCTGTTGTCATATCCTGCTGGCAGCCCGCCCTTCGGCCTGCTGGCTGCGGGCTGCCATTCAGAGCCATGTCCGTGTTGCCGCTGTCGTATGTCTTTTCGGGTGCTTGCTGACCGTTGTGTCTGTTCCCGTCTTGCAGTCGGGCGTCGTGCTAGAGTGCTCGCCTCCTCCACAGCCGCGCCAGACACCAGAGCAACTGCTGGACCCCCAGATTCACGTGGCGACGTGGTGCCTAGTAGCCGCGATGGCACACTAGGTCTTTGCGCTCCAACGCCTTCCGGCATACGTGGCGACGTCGAGCCTAGTAGCCCTGGTGGCACACTTGGTCTTTGCACTCGAACACCAGGTGCCAGCCCTTGAGATTGTCGCCTGTCCTGCTGTAGGGCGTCGGGAGACCATGCCGATGCATCGACCCGAGCGAGCTCAAGGGTATTGTCCTCAACCACCGCTACCATGCGCCGACCCGTGCCACCGCTCGGCGTCTCGTAGCCGTGCCTGATTCCAGGGACCTCCAGGGGCGGCGTTGTCCTGGGGCCTTGTTTCCAGGCTGTCTGCCAGGAGGCCTCTATGCCACTGATGGCACGGGAGGGCAGTTTGCCAAGTTTCCTGTCCTCCGACGAGTTGCCTTTGCCTTTTGTGCGGCTCCGTCCTAGCGATGATTTTGACTGGGACTGTGGAGTCACAGGTGTACTCGACTCGGTTCGACAGGCGGTTCCCCGCGCAGAGCTTGCGGCCATTGTTGAGTGCCTTCGTTGCGCTGACCCTGCCCAAGCTCTGCGCGTGGTCACCGACCATGCCAACATTGTCAAAAGGTTTTCTGGCTGGCCGAGCTGCCTCTGCGAGGCTGGCTAATTTTGATCTCTGGTGGGAATTCTGGCAGCTCCTCTCGGAGCGACCTGGGGACTTCCAGCTTTTTCATGTTCCCAGCCACCTGTTGGAGGATCCCCAAAAGCTCGCCCGTTTTGGCGACTCTGTAGACTGGGACCAGGTTGTGCTCAACTCTGTCGCTGATGAGCTTGCTGAACTGCGTGCTCGGGAATGCCAGGTTCCGAATGGAGTTGTTCAGGCTTATAATGAGCTCGTCGGCAATGCTTGTGCCATCCTCAAGCGTCACGCCTCTATCATTCTCGAGTGTGCGGCCCTCAAGGCCGAGCCTGAGCGCAGGCTGCGCAAGCAGCCCATTGATCTTGTGCTCCGCAGGCGTCGGTGGATCGAAGCTGATGTGAGGGGTTCGTCGCACGTGTGGGAGTTCGGTTCTGGCGTTTGGACTTGTGGGATGTGCAAGGCTTCGATCTCCGATGCTGCCCCCCTCGCTCCGTGTCCCGTGGCCGCGCTGGGACCGCGCGCCATCGCAAAGCACCAGCTCGAGGCTTTACAGCGGGTTTGCAAGGGCCTCCCGCCGTCTAAGACCTCCAAGAGCTGGATGGCGTAATCCCTTTTCCCTGCCAGGCAACCCCTGCATCTGTTGCACTCTGGAGGTTGGCTGGCAGCGGCGCACTGGAGAAAAAAAAGAAAAAATCGTCGAGCTGGGCAGCCGCAGCGAAGTCGACGTCCTCTGGGGCTGTCGCCTCTTAGCTGGGTTCCGTGGATGTGGGTGGCTGAGTTGGCAACAATCACGATGCTCCCGAGCTCGCAATGTCGGGCCGTGCTGCACGTCACCGCCGCGTGCTTGATGATGTGGTGGCTCTCGGGAAGCTTCCAGCAGATAGAGGCCTCGGCGTGTAAAGAGAGGGCGGCTACCTTCGCCTCGGCGGCTCCGTGCATGATGGCGAGGACTTCTGTTGTGACGGGGCTAGCTGAGTAGAGCTCGTTGGGTATATTGTTTGTTGCGTCGGCTGGTCCCCGCGGCGTTTCCTTCGAGCAGCGTCTGCTGGCGCCGTTGGCGACGCCATCAGCATGATCGTAGTGATACAAAGTCATTCTCGGTATCTTGGCGTGTATCGCTGCGGTCTCGCCTTTCTAGATCCTGTCGCGGACGAGCTGTAGGTCGTGTGCTGATGTCGGTGCTTCGCCGTCGTTGCTGGGGTCGATCGCGATGTAGTCCAAGCCACTCGCGCTGGTGGCTGTGCTGGTGGTCATGACATGTTGGCGGTCGCCTGGCTGCCGAGGGCTGTCGGTGATGAAGACCGCTTCCTGTCGTTCGGCTGGCTCGGCGGGCTTCGATGCGGTGGGTTGGTTCCTCGTGGATTGAACGGCGGCGTAAACCTTCGGATGAACGGGCGACGTCTCTCCAGGAGGTGGAGCGGCGTGATGTCGATCTTGTCGGCGGGTATATCGCTGAAGGTCGCGCGTCGGCCGCTCTTCTTGTTTGCCGCCGCGGTCGTCGCTAGGGCGTCTAGGTTGTCCGCTATTTGCTGTTCGGTGAGCGGCTCCATCGCCATGGTGCGCCAGGCGTGCCAGGACTTGCGGCAGCGTGGGCTATTGCAAGGTGTTTCAGGAGCCTCGGGGAAGTTTAGAACTCCGTCTGGCAGCACCTGCGCGCCGTGCCCGTCGCCTATCGCCGGGGGTTCTCGCGGCCGGGGTGGCCCCTTCTTACGTGCACTGCCAAGCCCTGCTTGGTGGCTGCGAGGCCACAGACGTAGCAGACGCATGTCGTCTCGGAGGCGCCGACGGTCTGGTCGATCTCGGCGGTGCTCGAGGAGGTCGGGGGCGTCTGGATATCCTTCTGGAATTTCGCGAGCTGGGCCTGGTCGCGCATATTGTGCAGGTAGGCCTTGGCGGCTGCCTTGACCGCGTTGGTGAAGTGCTTGGGCCTCTGGCGGGCCCAGCTGATGATGTCGCTGTAGTGCCGGTTCTTGCTCGGCCACCTGTCTCGCGGGAGGTGTTTTCGAAGAAAGGTGAAATCCTGCTTGAGCAGGTGGCTCCAGGTGCCCTCGCGTTGTCGCTGGCTGTCAAGTAGCTGAAGTAAGACCGCAGGCGCGTGGTTCAGGGGCCGCGGTAGGTATCGCAGTCGGGCTGTCGTCTTGTGCGTTTCGACGTCGGGGACGCCTGTCTCCGCGATCGCCTCGCTGGTGGTGACGTGCTTGTCGGGCGCGTTTGTCTTGGACAGGGATGCCGCTACTCGGTAAAGGGCCCCTGCACTTGGCAGAGATGTGGTCGCGGTCCTTCTTGGTCAGGCCATTTCAGACGTGGTGGTTATAGGTCAACGACGAGGTCGAGAGCGCGTGACCGTACTTCAGCTTGGCTTTCGTCGATAGCTTCTTGCGGCGGAGGATATGTTGCTGCATCGATCGTGCTGCTCCGAGCGTTCTGTTGACACTGCGGCAGATCTCGGGGCCCCTGGCTCCGTCCGCCTCGACGATGGCCCCGGGGGCTTTCTGCTGGGTCACAAGCTGCACCTTGATGGGGAGGCCCTCGATCTTGATGAAGGTGACCTTGTCCTGGGCGATCTTCCGGTGCTCCTCTCCAGCCCCGCTGCCGTAAGTGCATGAGGATGGTTTTCGTCTCGTCGGGGTGCGGCTTGAGTCCGTGCTGGTAGGCTGCTGTGCACAATTTGGTGGCTGAAAGTCGCGTCGTCTGGATCGCGTCGCCAGCGCTGGCAGTCGAGTTGTAGCCGGTGAGGTCGTCGACGAAGCACGCATTTCTGAGAGCGCTGCCCTTGCGAGGCGCCGCCAAGAAGAGTGGGGCCTCGCAGGCCTGGTTGTCGCGGCCACCTACCCATAGGTTGTGGTATGCGGCGGCCGCCGCTGCTTGATCGATAGCCCTCAGCATGATGGCGAAGTGCTTTTTGAAGGCGACGTTGGAGTGCGGCGCGCCAGGCCGCTTGCTGGTCCGCGGTGGCTGGTCGTGCTTGGCGTCTTGGCCGCCAACCAGTTGGAGGCTTGGGGGTCGGCGATCATGCGGCAGAGGTGCTCGTCGTCGATGTGTTGGTTGTTGTGCTGGCTGCTGTTGTCGGTCCGTCAGCGAGGGCTCGTGAAAGTCAGAGATGTCGATCCGCTCAGTGAGGTCGTTGAGTTCGTCGGCTGAGGTCGGCAATTGTAGGCAGAACCCCCTGATTACGGACTGGAAGGCCTCCCTGAGGTCAAGGAAGGTGATGCTGCGCGATCTGGCCGTTCACTGGCAGCCGGCGATGAACGCCAGGGAGGCGCGGGTGATAAAGTCGGTTGCCATCATAGGTCGCGCTCCACACTGCGTCGCTTCCAGCAAGTTTGGTAGTGAGCCTATCACCCGTGATTGTCGAAAGCCGTTGCGCATCTTCCCGATGGCGTTGTTGAGCAGGATGCTTCGGCGAGACTTGTATTGTTCAGTGGCACCCTGGCCCACCCCTGGGCGGCGATGGGCCCGGTGCACTCGATTTGTGTCTTGACCAGAACGGGGCGAAGAAGGCGAGCCATTCTCTCGGGGCCTGCTCTGGACATGTCGTCGGTGAGCTGGTCTGGTTCTCCTCGTCGTCCTCGCTTGGCAGCGGCCAGCTGGCTGGTGAGCTGGTGCTTGTGAATGGTGTTCTGGATCTTCCGGGCTGGTCGCGTAGTGCAGGCTCGCTTGTTGTAGTATTTGGCTACCCCTTCGGCGCCCGTCGTCGCGCCCATCTCGATCTTGCCGTTGCGTGCAAGAGCATGGTCGGCGATCTCGGCCTTGGTCGTGAGGGGCCTGCCGTCCTCAGTTCTGCGAATGATGGGCGCGGGCGGCTTCTTGGGCTTTCGCCCTCCGAAGGCCAGCGGGCGCTTGGCGCGCAGGGCTTCTTGTCGCGAGGCGCGGTCGGCGGCGTTCATCTCGTCGGCGGTCTTCTCGAGGACGGCGTCGCGATCGTCGTCGATCCACTTCTTGAGCAGCGGCTTGGTTGCTCTGAGGAGCTGCGCGATGGTGTCGCAGTAGTTCTCAGCGTTGTCAATGCCGTTGGCTGTCGCTGCCTTCGCCCTCGACGCTGCTCAACCATCTTGGTCGCGGGCGTCGGGGGCGCCGAAGACGACGGAGGCGGCGATGATATTGGCGTGGTCGTTGGCATTGGCCAAAAGCCCAGCGCCCGCTCGGTCGGGGCACGGCGTCGTGCGAGGGGGGATTCGAGGCGTATCGGGGCCGCTTCGCGCCGAAGCTGTTTGTGGGCCCGCTCTTCTTGACGACGCGGGCCGTCTTGGGCAATGGGCGGCGAGCGCGTGGCAGAGCGAAGGAGCGCTTCGTGATGTAGGGATTGCGTGGGGCGCGGCCGCGGGGGCGGAAGCTCTCGCGGGCCGTTTTCGTTATCTTCTCTGTGATGGTTGCGAGGTGATCGTTGACATTGGCGTCCCAGGTCGGGCGCTGGATGTCGCGGAGCTTCTGGCTGAACTTCTCGCGGCAGGCGTCTTCGGCTAGTTTGGGCTGGCCCATCGAGCTTCGGACCGCCCTTGGTGACCGAAGATGCGATCTCATAGGCTAGCTCTAGCCCGACGGGGTAGCGGTCATGATTGGTGTCGGGGTCGCAGCCGTCATCGATGCCATGTGGGACAGAGCATGCCTCAATCGAGTCCAGGTATCCCCTCGGAACGATAACGTAGTCGATGCGGCGGGGGCTCGTGCCTGAGTGCCAGGCGCAGCGCTCGGGCCCGTGGCTGACAAACGCGTCGGCACCCACGAGGTAATTGGAAAGGAGCAGCTCGTGAAGACGTCGACCGTTAGGATCTTCTTCCTGCTGCGTGCCTTGGTCGCCGATCGCCGCGCTGGTGATGTCGCCTGTTCTGGCGTTGGCGTCTATCAAGATGATGCGGGTCTGGTACTTCTCGGTCGCCGCGGTGAGCTTCTTCCAGCAGCTGGTCTTCTCGGCCTCGAGGGCATTTGAGCACGTGGGAGAAGCCGGGGGCGCTCGCGCAGACGACGAGGAGCCGGGGGTCCTTCTCGATGGTGGTGAACTCGCCGGGCTCGAAGAAGAGTTCTTTCTTGCCGCACTTTCCGTGGGGCTTGCTAAGGAGGACGTGGAGTGCGCAGCCGTAGTTGCAACCTTGGTGGCCGTTGGAGATGGCGCGGTTGCTATTCGCATTGGCGCAGGAGGCGTCGCCTTCTTTCTCTGAGTCGCGCATTCCCCTTGGCGCCCTGGTCTTTTGGATACCGATGACATGTAGGTCCTCGTCGAAAAGGCTGGCGCTGGTGGTCTTTAGCATGTTGGTTTTCTCCTTCCTTCGCTGCGCTCCTTCTTTGGGCCCCTGGCCTGTCTGTGCGTTGAAGGTCGCGATGTTGATCTTGATATCAGTCTTTCTGTCGCTGGGCTCGGTCGGCTCGTGGAAGTGGCGAGCTTCGGCGGCCGTCGGGGCGTTGCTTGCGGCGAGGCTGCCCTGTTCGAACGTGGGGTAGGTCTCCTTCGTGTTCTGGTCTGCGTCGAGCAAGAACTCCCAATCCCGCTGGGCGGTGCCGTCCATTATTCGGGCCCGTTCTTGCTGTGGAACTGGAGCTGCGGCGATGCGTCCGCGGTTGGCGGCCGCGTCGGCAACTTCGTTTCAGGGGTTATGCTCGCGGGCGTGGACGTGCTGCAGGTCGCTGCTCTGGCTGACCATGTCGTAGAGGATACGGAGCGTCCTGACAAGGTCGGGGTCGTGGTCAGTGAAGGCCAGCCTCTTCGCGAGCTGCAGGGCTCCCAGCGAGTCGGTCGAGATCGTGAGATGTCGTCGAGGTTGCGGTGAATGACCCAAGCGAAGGTCCATTAGAGCGCGGTGATCTCGACGGTGGTGGAGGTGGTATCCAGGTCGCTATTGTCCTTCGCTGCGGCGTCGGTGCCGCTCTTGTGCTTCCCAACGATCGCTCCTTGAAATGTGATGTCGAAGTCATCGTCCCAAACGATGATCACGGCCCAGGCGTCATCGTTCGGCTGCTTCGGGTGCTTGGAGACGTCGGTGAAAAAGGTGGATCCTTGCGTTCGGCTGCAGTGGTCTCGGTGGATGGTGGCGCAGCATGTATTCGGGGGTCACGTTAAAGCTCTCGTCGTGGCGGTCGAAGGTAAGTGTTGAATGATGGGTTCGCTGTAGCGTTTGCTTGATGATGGGTCTAGCGTCGAAGTCGACTCGGTGCAGCTGTTGTGGTGTCGGTTGTGTTGGTGGCAGTTGCTGATGGTCGGGTGTAAGGGGTATCTTGGCGGTAGATGCTCGGACGGGTTGAGTTGCCTCCCCTGTTGCCGTCCTTGCTGTGATCTCTGCCGTCGGAGTTGGTAGTGGTGGAGGGTTGGGCATTGTCGAGGCGGCTGCTGGGAATGGTCGTCTAGCTTGGCCCCTTTTGGACAGGCTGGGCTGGGTTGCTGGACGTAGGTGCGCGCTTTGAGTAGGGGCGTCGAGGCATGCGTCTTCGATGTCGTCGCCGAGGTCGCCGGTGGCGTCGCCTGTCTGCTGGAGCGCGGGGTAGTTGTTGAGGTCGATTCGTTGGGCGGTCGAAGTTGTCGCGCCTTCGGCTGCAGTCGCTGCGTCGTTGGGTCTGCGAGTCGATGTGGTCGAGGTGTTTGCTTGGAGTGGTTGTCTGGTTTTGTGCTCCTCGGGCAGGCTGGGTTGACATGCTGGGCGGTGGCGGTTGTTCTGGGGCGGGGCGTCTCGGCATGTGGCTTCGACGTCTGGGACGTCGCGCGGATTTATCCCGCTGTTGGAGGCCGCTGGTGGGCCCGAGGGAGACCTGCTAGAGCTTGCCCTTTTCAGGAGGGAAAGAAACACACAGACACACTTAATCGTCGACTCCCAGGAAAATATGGGAAAATATGAGAAGTGGGGGGGAAGACAAAAACCCAGGAAATATGGGAAACTATGGGAGATACTTTTATTTGTGTGTATTTATTTGTGTGTCCCAGTTCCCCTTCATCAAGGGGGCCTGGGATGCGCGCGGCATCAATGCTGGCCCTTTGGAAGTCGCCAAGGCCCAGCAAGTTCGCCGCCGCGGTGCTGGTCTTGGTGCCGCGCCGCGGCTGGAGGCGGTCGTTGCCGCTGTTGCTGCTTCAGTCTTTGCTGCTGCTGGCGTCGGTGGGTCTGGTCGGGTATCCTGCTGAAGCCTCGTGGAGAAAATGGTGGCGGCGCCTGAGCGCCAAACTGGCTAGTCGCCTGACGACTTCCGTTGGGCGCGGGTCGGTCGGGTCGCGGGGAACTCGATGTCGTCGCCCTCGTTGGCCTCGTCATCGGAGTCGTCGGCGCCTCGGGCTCGTGGGAGCCTTGGTGGCGGGTGGTGTTGGGGTGTCTCCAGGGTCCGCCCAGAAACGCCGCTTGCGACCCTCTGGCCTGCTGCTGATGCTTGTCTGGGCTGGGTGAGGGTTGGCACCCCAGTCCAGCGTCGGTCGCAGTACCGTCTTGGCCGCAGCCTGGGTGGACTGCCCACTCTCGGGTAGGGCTGCCCGGTTTTGCAGTCCTGCTTGTCGCGTCGGTGTTGGGGCAGAAACGTACCTTCTATGGTTATTAACTTTTTGCTCGTCGTTTGCTGTCTGTGGCTGCGGTCGGCGGGGGGTGATCTCCCTAGCGATCCTTATCGTAGTAGCCTGTGGCGTACCTGGAGGTGTCGTCAACGTCGGGACCGACCGCGGCTGGGCCTCTGGTGATTTGTCGCGTGCTGTATCCAGTGCAGCGCTGTCGACTATGGAGTAATCCGCCATTTCTAGTGCCTGGCGTCTATGCGATGATGCTGTGCTGCTGGGCCTTCTCGCCTTCCCCATGCGAGATGTAGCGGCCGAGGGGATTGTCCGCGGTCCGCTGCCGGGTAGTAGTGGTTGCGGCGAGTGGGTTCCCCACTGCTCGCGTGGTTGATGGCTTGCTGGTTGCGGTGCGCTATCCCCGAAACATGTACCAGGCTGTTGGAAAGGAGGGTGGTGGTGGTGGTGGTGTAATCGGTGCTCTGCGGCAACACTGCAGGAGTCGATGTCGCTGGGCGCGTGGACTACGGGGTCTTCTGGTGTCTGGTTGTGCCTTGGTTCCTGGGCCAGTCGCCACCCAGGAAGTCGCGGCGCTGCCAGGTTTTTGAGCCGTCGTCGGAGTGGGCCCCGCTGCCGTCGGTGGAGGCAGAGACGCGGTCTGCAGGGTCGGCGAATCCGTCTGCAGCGTCGCAGATGCGTACCTTTTTCGGTGGTTGTCGCTCTGCTGGCGGAGCCTTCCTTCCTTATGGGGCTGTCCGAGGGGGCGGGGCCGATCTCGCCCTGTCGGGCGTTCCCAGGTGGTACCTCGGCGGGGGCAGACCTGGTATCAACGGGGCAGTGGGTGGGATGTCGGACGATGGGATTCTTTGTCTTTGTGGCGTTGGGAGTGGTTCAGCTTCGTCGCCTGGTGTGATGGCGATCAGGAGAGTTGTGGTGGGTCTGCTCGTCCTCGCAGTGCTGTCGCTAGTGCGACCGTTGGGTGTTGGGGCTGAGCGAGGTCGTTCATAGTCGGGGATGTTTGTAAATGGGCCTTTAGGGGTCGGTTGCTCGTCTGGGATCGGTGTGTGGGGAGTGGAGGTCGGTAGTGGCGTCGGGACAGGGAATGGATAGTCGTGTTCGGCAACTGGGGTCGTTTCGCAGAGATCGCCGACGTCGCTTGGGATAGGGGGTCCGCCTACCCGCGTCGCCGTCCCTATCTTTCGCTTTGCCTTCTTTCCCCCCTTGCTGGTGTCGTCGGTGGCATCGTCGGTCTTGTCGCGGTAGCTGCAAACCCAAGGTCCTGCCGAGATAAAGTGAAGGGCTGCTTCCACTTCGCGGTCGGCGTGAGTTTGTTCTTGGTCTGCCATTGCCTGCCTTTGTTATTCTTCCTCGTCCTGCACCCTCAGCTGCATGTCTATTTCGCGCAGGATGTCCACGTCGAGATCGGTCCCCCAATGATGGGCCCTTTGGGGTTCGTCGTGTAGCTCTTCTCGTTCTTTGATGTGCCTGATCCTGTTCTCCTCGATCTCATGCTGGTTGGCTTCTTGTGTTGTTTTTTCGGCGTTGAAGATAGCTTCTGAGACTCGCATCATGGTGATATCCTGGTTGTGCTGGTGCTGCTCCGGGATGGCGTTGTGTCGGTGCGCTTGTAGTTGTCCGTGCTATTCGAGAGGAGCTTCTTTAGCTTGCTGCATTTGGTTGTACTCATTGCTTGCCATCTCGTTGACTGCTCGCGCGGCCTCGGCTTTCTCGAATTGGAGGGTTTGCACCTATTCGTGACACATTTTGTTGCACTCGCCGATCATTCGTTGCTCGTTGGACTTCATCTCGTTTCTGACTTGCTATTCCCTTGCTTCTGGGGCGAGACAATTTGCTTGGGTGTTCCGTGCTTCTTGGGCGAGTCGTTCCTCTTGTACTGCTAGAGCTTCTGCACTTGCCTCATGGACAAGTCGCACCTGCTGGGCGAAGCGAGCTTCTTCAGCGAGTCTCGCTTCTTGTGCTGTTCGCGCTTCTTGTGCGAGTCTTTCCTCTTCATGTTGAAGAGATTGGCGCACTTGAAGCTGAGCTGCTGCATGTTCTTGCTGCAATCTTAGTGATCTCGTAGCGCAGCTCCGGGCTTCTGATGCCAGCTCCTCCTCGTATTTCTTCATGCCGTTCTTCATGGTCATCGTTTTGGCGGTCATTTCTCTCATCTCCTCGCACTGTTCGGTATGTCGTCTCTGCTGTTGGTCATGTTCTGCACGCTCGTAGTGGAGGAACGCGAGATTGTGCTGGTAACGGCCTCGGTGCCGCTGCCGATCGGCAATTATTTTTGCTAGCTCTGCGACTTGCCTTCGCATGTCGCCTTCGCCGTCGTCTGGGCTCCTGTTGACTTCTTGCATCCAGTGGAGGTCGCGATGTTTGCTGCTGCTGTCGCCTTGTTGGCTGGGGGGTTCTTCCATGGGTGGCTCTATGGTTACTCTCGCAGTCTTCGTCGCCGTCACAGCTTGAGTCCTCGTCCTGATCCTTGGGGTCCTTTTGCTTCTTCGTTTCTTGGATGAGGGCCTTGCAGGCTGTGGTGCACTCGCTAACTTCCTTTTCCTCGGTGCTGAGCTCGCGAAGGCTGACCTCAATCTTCTGCTTCTGTCTTTTTGTGTTCAACTCCTCGACCTGGTGCCTGTAGGTGGCTATCCTTTCCGTAGGCTCCATGAGGAGTTGCACCATTGTCTTCGTGATCGCGACTTCGTGGTTCAGCTTGGACGTGTCGACATGGGCCTGCTTGGCGCCGATGATCTGCTCAGCGAGTCGCCCCAGTCTTTCGATCTTCGTGGCGTGCCAGACTCGTCGGATATCTCGTTCGTGGGGCGGGAAAGAAAAGCTGTCATGCTTTTTCGCAACGGAGATGAGGACTGGCGTGATCTTATCTACTATCTCTGCCTGCCTCTTTGTCAGCTTCGACTCCTGGTAGACGTCGGAGGTACTGCTGGCATCGGAGCGGCTTTGTTGTGGGTGTCGCCGTCGTGATGCTGATCTTGCCGCTCTCCACTTCCAGCTCTGCGATCTCCATGGTTACGATTTTTCACCGACGCCGGGGCCTGGGCGAGCGGCAGATGAGGACCCTGCTCCCGTCCTCTTTTCAGCCGTGCCCCTGTTGATCCTGCCATCCTTTCCAGCGGCCCTGGTCCGCCATCCCGCGCTGCCGGTGGCGCTGGGGCTGCTGCGCGCCGAGGTGCTGCTGGTCGCACTCGTGCGGCTGCGCGGAGTGGCGGCTGCTGAGGATGTGCGCAGCGTCCAACACGCGGAGGAGGGTCCTCGCGTTGGCCCTCTGCTCCCGCAGGCGCCTGCGCCAGGCGGGCTCGCCCTCGCGGGGCGTGGCGGCTCCGCGCCGCCGCGGCTGCGGCGCCGATGGCGCGCGGCCACGAGCGGCCACGGGCGGCGGGGGCGACCGACGGAACGACGGCCCCGCCCCTCCTCAGCCCGTGGCTTCTCCTCCTCCTCCTCCTCCTCCTCCTCCTCCTCCTCCTCCTCCTCCTCCTCCTCCTCCTCCTCGACGGGGGGATTCCAGAAAGCCTCCCTGCAGCGCTGCCCCTTCATGGGGGTCGCTTTCTGGCACTGCAGCGCCGCCCACGTCGGGAAAGGCTGGGCTCGCCGGGTCACCGGTCGGAGTAGTGGGATCCTCGTGGGAGGGCCAGCGAAGGCGGAGCCCGGGAGATGTCTATCGGGGTGACCCAAAAGGGGTCCAGCTGGAAGGGGGAAGTGCAGTAGATTTGGGGCAAGTGCATTGCAAACGTACAGTCGGGGCCCTGAAGAAGGAACCCTTTCGGTTTGGGAGGGGCTCCGCGTTCCTTAAGCGTTTCACAGCTTGCCGCAGGTTTCCCTTATGCTGTCGATTGGAAATCGAAGTTCAACTCATGGAAAAAGGGGGCCTCGTTCCTTATTTAGGGTTCCTTAGGTCAAGGCCCCGACTGTATTGCGCCGGAGAGTTGTATTGCATGGTTTTGCAAGCAGTGTATTGCACGCGAAAATGCAGCAATGCATCTGCGCCCCGAAATGTGTTGCACGCCCCAGATGTACTGCAACCCCACAAATCCCCCCCCTTGTCGCTGGACCTCCTGTTGGGTCAACCCGGGTCCAGGAGGAGTCCTAGGGTCAGGCTTGTCCCTCTACAGGAGGAATGCTCAGAAATCGTATACAATAATATGGGGACGATGTTTCGATTATCTTTGGGCTATGTTTGAGTATTTGATCGGCATTTTTTATGTTTCGTCCAACATCGCCCTGTAGGATGACATGCCCGACCTAACACTAGTCAACGTGCCCGTCAGTGGAGTCCCCGTCAGAGGACCACCGAAAATGGAACTCGGGAGAGGTGCAGGAGGGGTTCAAGGACTGATCTTGACCGTAGACGCTTTATCAGTGTGACAGCTAACGGCGAAGTAGGAAATCCAATTGTAGGAAAGCGTGGTTCGTGGCCAAACTACTTGTAGGAACGCGTGGTCTGTGTTTTCCTACAACTCGCTGTGTCGTTTTCGCTCGGCACATCTGCATCTTTGACATGTAGGAAACGGCCTTTCGTGATTTCCGACGTTCTGTTCTTCGTGAGTTCGGCGTCCCAAAAATCAGATTTCCAACCACACCGTTTACCAAGCACGCCGTTAGCGCGGCCTTGGCTTGAGCAGACTTGGTCAGTGCGGGAGAGCCCCCAGCGTTTCAACTGGCATCAGCTGGTTGTCACTGGTTGTCCCCGGATATTCGGGGAATGCGGGTCTGCCGACATTTTGCTGACGAGCGCGTCCTGGATGTTTTTTGCGGTCCAGTTTCGTGGGATGTTGGCAGCGGGAGCTCGCGTCACATTTCAGATTGGATCTCGTCGTCTTCATGATGGCTCCGTCAGGCCAACCCGAGTCCCCCGAACCCGAGTCGTACGTCTCCCCGAGATAAGGGGGGGAAAGGGCGCGCAGCCAGCTGGCCATCCTCCCGATCAATTGACATCAGCAGGCCATCCCCACGATCTGGGGATGCACTTCATATTTCAAGATCGCGCCTCGCGCCGCAGCAGTGATCACGGCTTGAGTTCCTGTTGGCTAGTTGCCATGTGCCGCGGGCACTTAACATTTATTAGATTTTGGCAGTTGGAGACACTCGGACTTCCGATTCCGATGTGACTGCACCTTCGAATTTCGTTTGGACCGCACTGATCGAAAACGAGTTGTGATTCGAGTTTGAACTTGATTCGTGGCTTCGGGGCGGAGTTTGGACTTGCTGTGCAGCGTACAGTTGAGTTTTCATTCGGAGTGGAGTGTCAACTTGGAGTTGGGAGAAGAGTTGATAACATAGTTGAAGTTTGAGTGGAACATAGATGTGGTAGACGCGGTGCCCGAAGCGCTTGGCACGTGAGCTGGGTCGCACCAGGGGGGGTCCCGAAGCGCTTGGCATCTGAGCTGGGTCGCGCTGAGTGTTTGTCCGAAGGGTTCGGATTTGAACTGGGCCGCACCAAGGGGGTGTCCGAAGGGATTGGGAAAAGATCCTGTTTCTCAGAAATCAGTGAAGAGATGGGGTTGGCATGTAGGTTGGATCGCGCTGGGGGACTGACAGACAAGATAACGGTTTCGCTCGGGGAGGGAGAAGGAAAAGGGAGAGGAGGAGGAGGTGGAGGAGGAGGAGGAAGGAGGGAGGAGGAGGAGCTGCAGGAACAGGAGGGGAAGGATGAGAGGGGTGAGGCGGACGAGGAGGGCGGGGAGTGGAGCTTCGTGACTTCTGGTCGCCCGAACAGGGTCTGCGATTCCCTCATCCTCCTCATCGCCTCCTCGCGTGTGGCCGCATATGCGTTTCCTCGCCGCCCCTCTCCATTTCCTCCTCCTCCTCATCATCCCCCCTCCCGGTTCCTTTCCCCTTCCTTCTCCTTGACATTGCTCGGACGTGTGCATTTTTTCTGGGTCAGGACCATCGAGGAGCGTTTTTGTTCACTCGGCGAAGATATGCACGCACACGAACGAAACGTGCACAGGGAGTGGACGTGTTTGAGCGATGGCGGGTCTCGCTTTTCCACCCTCCCCCCCGCTTCTCTGTGCTGCCCGCCTCTTTTCCTGTTGCTGCTTCTCTTGCCCACCCCGCTTCTGGCTCAGATTGATTCTGAGCTTGGCCGTGCGAACTTCAGAACGGCGCTGCACGACCGAGGCTTTTTCTTGGTTTTGTCCCACGGCCTACCGTTTGCAGGTGGCGCCTGCTCAGTTCAGCCTGCAGTGCGCAGGTGGCGCCTGCGCGAGCCAGTGGCTCGTGCTTCTTCCAGACGGTTCAGAAACTGCTGCCATGGACGGCGCTCCGTGGAAGGTCTGCCGAGTGCCGCGCCGTAAGCAGCTGTGGAAGTGCCAACGGTGTGGCTGCGGCCGCAACCTCCCGTCGTGGTGGAACTGCAAGCACTGTGGTTCCCAATGGTGCTCATCGTCAGGAGGCGAAGCGGAAGCAGACGGCGATGCGATCGCCTTGGTTGCTGATCCGGATCCACGTGACCCTTTTCCTGGGTTTTTGCGTGGGCGTGGTGTTTGATGGGGCGCAGTGTGGCCAACATTACCCAATGCTGATCCCATCAACACTGAGGGGTTTTCGAGCGCAAAGCTCGACAGTCTGGCTTACTTGGCGCGCAAGCGTTCTGTAAGAAGTACGAGAAAGACCGTGGCGCTCAACAGGTTCGGGAGAGGCCTCGAGTGGAACATCCAGTTTCGCTCCATGCCCGTGCCAGCCAGTCTCAGAGCAATACCAAGCAGTGTGAGAAGCTCATCGAGCGGGAGCTGGACAAACTCGAGCGCTGGAGGGTGGATACCAAGCAGCTGGAGGAGTCGATTCAGCAGCTCTCGGAGGAGCTCACCAGTCACGAGAACCACTACTAGGGGCTGGTGGCCCAGATCCGTGTGGAAGTGACTTCGCCTGTGGGTGCCGAGGCGGCTGCTCCCAAGCTCAGCCTCATGGCGCTGGTGGAGTCAGATGCCGAAGTCGACCTCGCTGATGACCTCCTGGACGACATTCCCGTTGAGTTCGAGAGCTCCTAGGACGACGAGAAGGAGTTTGAGGGGAGGAAGCAGCTTCTTCTCGAACAGCTACGCGAGGCGGCCAAGCAGCTCTTCGGGAACGCCAATTCTTCGCTGGAAGACGCGAGGAAGGAACACGAGGCCCACGCCGCCCGCCTGGTGCGCAAGAGGCGCAAAACGGGAACGCGTGGAGACAGTGCTGCTCCTGGAGGCGACGGCGCTGGAGATGCCGCTGCTGCTGGGGGGGGGGCGCCGCCTGCTGTTTCTTCTGAGGCTGGAGGTGGAGCCTCGGCCGCCTATGGCGCGTCGGCCGCTGCGTGAGCTTCTCAGCAGCAGGTCGCCATTGCGCAGGCGCCGCCCGCCTCTGGAGTCAGCCCTGAGCTCCGTGAGCGTTTGCGCCAGGCCCTCGGCAAGGCTGGCAGTCGGCCTGGCCAGGCCCGTATTTAGTATTGGCCCAGTGGAGGATTCAGGCTTAGAGGGTTCCGATGGTTTCCCCCGTTCTAGGGGGCAAGATTTGCAGTCCTCGTGATCCCTTCAGCTTTAGTTCTGAAGGCCACAACTTGTTGGAGAATTTGGAATGTCGTGTTTCTCCAGGTCCAGGTCCCGGGCCAGATGATGATCTCCTGGAACTTGTCATCGCTACGGCAAATTGCAACAGTTGGGGGTCGCCACGTGACTGGCTGCCCTCGGCTACACCATATGATGCTCCACTGATGCAAGAGCACCACCTGGCTGACGAGGAAAGCTTGAGTCGTGCCTCGAAGGTTTGCTCTGACAGCGGTTGAAAGTCATTGTGGATGGATGCTGTTCGGGCGCCTGAGGTGGGCGCGCCAGGCGGCGCGGCTATCCTGGGTCGTGACTTATGGGGTCTTCATCAACCTTGTCAGAAATTTCCTGGGCGTGCTGAGTGCCGTAGCTCATCTTTAAGGAGGGGCCACGTTCTCCCTTGCTTCGTTCTACGGGCTCGATTCCGAGGGGGTCACGGATGGACAGTCGGAGTCGTTTCGCAATGCGGGGGCCTCGCGTTCGCGGTCGGAGGGAACTTCAATTTTCAACCCTCAGAAGCACAGGAACTTGGTATTTTGGAGAAGTGCCGAGGCGAATTGATTTCGACCGGAGGTCCTACATGTCTTGCCACGAAGCAAGCATGCTGTGACTACTTGTCTCGAGCGGCCTTGCTATGCGGTACGGGGTCAGTTAGCCTCTCCCCGGATTCGGAGTTCTCGTTTCATGCGGCTGCATATTTCCAGTTGCGTCCTCAGCTGGCTCGTCTTCAGGCTCTGGGCTTCCGGCAGCCCCCCCCCATCCCGCGGGCCCGCCTCCAGCGGCGGCCCGTCGGCCAGGTGATTTTTCCGAGGGTCGCACTTTTTTGGACAGGTGCGAAAAGGAGATCCGTTTTAGGGACGCGGGTGCTGTTTCCGGGCCCCTCGGCATGGCCCATTGGCAATGGGCCAGCGTTTAGGAAAGAGAGTTTTGTCCCAGGTTCGGAGAAGAGCCCCCGTTTTATGAGCCCCGTGATATGGGCCCCGCGATTAAATTGAAACGGCTTCCCAGGGACGATTTCAAGACCTGCAGGTATCCAGAACTCAGAGCGTTCAGGTGGCTCTGTGCGAGGTGCATGGCATTTGCGCAGTTGCCCCCGAGTGTCTGCGAGGTCTCCTTCCCCTCCTCAGGTTGAGCCGGCACGGGGGCTTGCCGCCTCCACCAAGAGCTCGGCCTGGGCCCCGAAGCAAGTGGAAGGGGAGTGTGAGAAGCATTGCGATAACATTTTGGAGAGATGGGAGGAGTGGGGGCCGCTTGCTCTTCTACTCTGCTGCCTGCTGCCTCTTCGCCTGGCCCTGCAGGGCAGGCCCTCGTCGGCGTCGCCAAGGCGCCCCCCCCCCCCGCGTTGCGCCCGATGCGGTCTCGAAATCTCCAAAGTCAGGTTCTGACGGGAGTGGCCAGTCCCCGGTGGATCACCCTCCTGCCCCCTCTACCGCCGCCTGCTCGCAGGTCCGCCGGCCCCCCCCCTCGCCCCAGGGTGAAAGCGTCTGAACCCTTGGCCCCCCATCTGTTGTGAGGACCTCCGTGGGCTGAGCAAGAGGTACCCTGCCTGGAGCGCGGCGCCCTCTGGCGGCTTTCGCACGCGAAGAATTCCTCGCGCGCCTTTGCTCGCGGACCCCGCTTTCGGTTGTGATCCTTGCGATCTTGGCGAAGGACAAATATGGATGCGGCCCCGTTGGATCCCCCCCTCGGCGCATCGCCGGGGGCGAGCTCGGGGGCCTTGCGACGGCCTGGGAAGCTGTGCATTCCAGAGTTGTCTGAGTTGCGGAGAAACATCGACGGGGCCTTGAATTGCGTTTGGAGGCAGCCTTCTAGGTCGGAGGGTTTTGGCAGGCGCCTATTCGGCCTCAGTCTTGTGGGGCATGTCTGAGTACGCTGAGCTGATGGGGCTGGAGGCCTTGTAGGAGAGGGCGATCCAGCGCGCCCCCCCCCCCCCTGGGCGTCTGGCACATCTGCCTGGCGGCCAACCTATCTGCCCGCTACATGCGCATAAATGGCATGTGCCCCCAGGTCTTTTACGCGATGCATGGTCTACTAGCGGGATGCAGCATGGCGACCGCGCTGATTGGAGTCTACGGCGTGGATGCCCTCGATTCGGCCCCCAGGGCGACGAGTTTTTTCCAGGGTCGGTCGGGGCGCGGAAGAGCTCCCCCAGTGGATGCCTATCTTGGTGATGCGTGTATCTCACCGATAGGTATGAAGAGCCTTGTTGTGAATGCGGTTATTGATCTGGCCTCCTTCTTGTTGCACGCGGCTAAGGCGACGCTTGGCGGCGCGGTGGCTCTGGGCAAAGTTTCGCTTATATGTTCGCGACCTGCTTTGGGCGTGGAGCTAGCGGCCCCCTGAGGCCAGTTCGGACATTTGCAAGCTCAGCCGTCAATCTTGGTTGCGACGACACCGCTGGCCGCCCCTGTCGTCGCGGCAAGGGCAGGGCGGCTAAGGGAAAATGTACGAAGGAAGGGCGAAACAGGAAAGTTCGGCGCATGTGCCGTTTGAAGGCGCACTTTGGTCGGAAAGCTTTTCTTGTTTGGGCTCGATGCCTGGCCGCAGCCGGGGGGGGGGGGCGCGGGCTTTCGCGGGGGGGGGGGGGGTCATTGAGGCGACAGACGGCGTCCGCGATCAAGCCCGGCATTGCTCGCCGCTCCCTCGCTGTCGCGTCGCTGCCGGCGGCCGACCCGTCTTGGCATGCCGTGGTTGCCCCTGTCCTTCGTTGCAGTAAGGAAATCTGTTTTTTTGAGAACTGCGGGTTGCCCCTGGACCTTGGACTGGGCCACTGCGCGAGCATCTTGGGCGGCGGCTTCTCAGAGCAGGAGGCAGTGCGTTTCTTGGAGATCGGTCTCGGGGCCAGTGAGTGCCGCGCTTTTGAGCTTGAAAAGAAGTTGACTGAAGATAGCGGTCAGGTTACTTCCGTCGACGACCGTGGTAGGACTATCTCATGCACTCAGGTTGTTCCTCGTCTCTGCAAGAAACTTTTGCACGAGGCTGTTCTCGGGGGCCTGGGGCGCGCCTCTTACTCGAAGCTGATGGAAGGGGGGGTCTCTTTTGTGGCGTGCTTCCTCAGCCTGACCCAGCATATGCTAGCGCCGCGAGCTCAGCGCCCCCTTTCTCAGGACGAGTTGGCCCCCGATATTGATCCTCCGAGTCTTCAGGGATCGGGTCGACTGTGTTTTGATGTCATCGCGAAGGCGCTTCTGTCTAAAACATTCCCCCCTTTTCGGGAAAGGGCGCCTTAGGGCGCTGGCGTGCAATGCGATCTGGGCCCACTCGCGAGCTAAAGAGCGGGCTATCAGGTGCCCTGCCCCTTCTGTTCCAAGGTCGATTCGCTCTTCCCCCGCCCTTGGGAGCGCGAGGCCTGCCAGGAGGAGAGGGGGGGGCTCGCGGGCCAGGATAGTCCCAGGTGGGCTCGCGAGGCTACCGGAGATCCCAACGAAGAGTTCGTTGCGTTCACCATCGGGGCTTTCTCTCATCCTGGAAACGCGTTTCCTGGCCCTGTCCTCCAGCGAGGCATGCAAGGCGCCACTGCGGAGTTCTTCCAGGAGGGATGTGCGGCGCCTGGCCTGGACCCAGGGCCCGGCCCCTTTTCCACGGGCGCATCTTCCTGGACGGGAGCTGTTTTCCTTCAGTTGCCAAGGGATTGTCTCGGGCGGGTTGGGCTGTCGTGATGGCGTCGTCCGATGGCCACCTGCTGGCCCGGGCCCCTTGGCCTGCGTGGGCCCACTTGCCCCGGGCATCCCAACGGGAGGTTTTCAAGCTTAGCCGCCGCGGGGGTCAACCTCGATGGCCCGTCGTCTCTGTGCTTTGACTGCGCTTCGTTTGTCTCGGTAGCCTCGAGGGGCCCGCTGGGCAGAGTTCCTGGGCGCAGGGCCTATGCCGGCTTGGTTTTTTTTTTTTTTTCCCCTCTGAGGGCGGCTCTCTCATCAGAGAATTTAAAAAGGTCCCCGCGCATAAGGGCGTCGAGGAGACTGGAATCAGCTGGGAGAACAGGTTCTGAGGCAGGGTAATTCGTGGGCAGACGACGCTGCGAAGAAAGGTGCACGTCTTCATCCCACGGCTAATCCTGATGTTCTGGACCAGATTGGCCGCCCCCTCAAGATTTCGAGGGCTGTGTTTTTGCTGGCCACGAAGTTGCCCCCAAGGTGGCCTCGGTTAGGCCTGGCCAGCGCGGCCTGCGCGCGTCCTCCCAAGGAAGAGCGCGAAGGCAAGCTTGTGCGCGATTGGTTCAGGAGGGAAAAAAACACACACACACACACAAAAATTAGTCGTCCACCCCCAGGAAAATATAGGAAAATATGGGAAGAGTGGGAGGGAAGACAAAAACTCAAAAAATATGGGAAAATATGGGGAATCATTTTATTTGTCTGTATTTATTTGTGTGTCCTGGGGCCCCTGCATTGGTCCTGGACGGGGGAGTTTTGGTAGCGTCTGTGCTGTCTGCGGGCGAGCGCGGAGCGCGCCGCCCCTCGGGCGGGGCGCGCTCGGCCCGGCCTCGCCTGCATCCCCGGCCCCTCCAGCAACAGGGCCACCGCTGTGCCGCGATAGATTGTCCTGGTGGGTCTTTCTCGGGGGAGAAAAAGATACGGTACGTGTTGTCCCCCTTCGTTTTCGGCCTTTCCTGGTCCTCCTGGGGAATCCTCGTTGTCACCGCTGGATTCGCCTCGAAATTCTGGTCAGAACGCACCCCGAGAGAGGTCCGGGGACAACACGTATCCGTATCCTTCCGCCCCCCAACTTTCCTGCGCATCTGTCTCGGCTGTCATGCTACAGCACTGGCGGCATCATCGTGAAGCTAGGAGAGACCTCCGCGGGTCGCAAGGCGTCAGACGCGGGTAAGACTGCGTGGAAGTATTTGTGCCAGGGCCGCCGCCCCCTACACCGTAGGCGATGCTCAAGAAAACTGAAGTTTTCGGCCAGAGTCTCGATTATTCTTAATGTTTGAATGTAAATCCTAAGTTTTTAATTGAAATGTTGGGTTTTTATTCCAGATCTGACACTCTGAATTTCTTAACCCATGATTTCTTAAGCATTTCGCAGGGTGTACGGTGGAGGCGTGAGAAGAATGTTAAGTTCCCCCCTCGCTCTGGACGGCCCCCCTCTTTCTGTGGCTTGGCCGCGCGAGGGCGTGGGGGCCCCCGCCCACTCGCGCGACCCCCCCCCCGCCCTCTCGGAGGAGGGCGATGCTGCTCGCGAGCTGCGCGCGGGCGCTATCGTTAGGCGTCTCCTCGCTGCGGCCTCGGGGGCCCCAGGTGCCACTTTGAGTGCTGCCAGCCAAGGGCCTGGGGACTCGCTCGCTGAAGACCGGCAGATGGGCCCCCGCGGGTCTTTCTGGCGTGGCCCGGGCGGTCAATCGTCACACTCGTTGTCGTCCGTTGTTTCTTGCCCGGCGATGGTGGTGGGGGGCTGGTGGTGGGTAGAGACTCGTCCGACTCTGACTAGAGCCGCTTGCGCGTGCTCATTGTTTGTGTTCTGTCTAATGCGGTCGCTGGACCAACGTTGCGGGTTTGCTCCGGGGCTCTTGCGTCGTTCTATCTCGCGGTGCTCGCGGCGCCGCCAGCCCTGGAACTCGGGCCGCGGGGTTCCGCCAGGCAGGCAATGCTGCTGGCCGTCCTTTCTTCGCCGCCGCGTGCGTGGCCACCTCCTCCCGCGCGCGGCCGCGGGGGCTGAGGATGCCCCCCCCTGCGGTGACAGCGGCTCTGAAGGGCCGCTATTTTTATCCGCGGTTGCTGAGATCACGTGGCGGGGTCGATGAGGGGTTCTGCGTCGCCCTCCCTGGCGGTGTTGGTTGCGCAGTTAGCCTTGGGATTCGGGCTTTGGAGTTTCGTCAAGCAGGCGTTGCTGGCCGTCTTTTTCACCGCCACGCGCGTGGCCGCCGGCTCCTGCGCGCAGCCGCGGGGGTGGAGGATGCCCCTCCTTCGGTGACAGCTGCTCGGGAGGGCCGCTCTTTTCATCCGCGGTTGCTGGGCTCACGTAGCGGGGTCGATCTGGGGTTTTGCGTCGTCCTGTCTGGCGGTGCTGGTTGCGCAGCCAGCCCTGGAGTTGGGCCTTGGAGTTCCGTCGAGCAGGCGTGGCTGGCCGTCCGTTTCGCTGCCTCGCGCCGTGTTCGTCCCCTCGTTGCGCGGCCGTGGGGCGATTCTCCCCTGCGGTGACCGCTGTTCAGGCAGGCCGCCCCTTCTGTTTCAGAGTGCGCGTCAGGGCACGGGGGAGGCCGCTCTCTGCTCCCCGACCGTGCGCCCTGCCGTGGCGCTCTGGACTCTCCGGGCAGGGTGGTGTAGAGCCGACGCTGGCCTGCGGTCATCGACGCAGACTACCTGCGCTGCAGGCCAGCCTGTCGGAGTCGCTCTTCTGACAGTGTGGTGGAAGGTCCTCTTGCTGAGGGTCTGCAGAGGTTGATGCTTTAAACATGCCCTCCCCGTTTCTCAGGGGGAAAGAAAACACACAGACACAATTAACCGTCGACTCCCAGGAAAATATGCAAAAATATGGGAAGTGGGGGGGAAGACAAAAACCCAGAAAATATGGGAAAATATGGGGAATCTTTTTATTTGTGTGTATTTATTTGTGTGTTTGTGGGCCCCTTCAGTTTCTCCTGCAGGCCCCCCCCCCCCGGAGCAGGAGCCGGCCCCCTCTCTGCTTCTCCTGCGGGCCCCCTTGTCTGCTGCTCCTGCAGGCCCCCCCTTCTGCTTACCCTTCCCCCTCTGCTTCTCCTGCAGGCCCCCTTCCCCGCTTCTCCAGCACGACCCCCCCCCCCTGGAGCCAGGGGCCGCGAAGCGAAGGGCGGGGCGTGGAGCGGTGGGGGGGGGTCGGTGTCTTGGCATCGCCAGCGACAACGGCACGGGCAACGGCGGCCCGAGCGATGGCGAGGTGTGGGAGGGGGCGGGGCGGGGGAAGTAGCCGATGGGACCTTACACGCCGGTCGTTTGAAGTAGGTATTTTTGGATGCCCGAGTCCTAATCTACTTTAGGCGCCTTCCTACTTCAAGAATCGAGCGGTGTTCCTTCTTTCCTCCTCTTCAGGGGGCGGGTGGAAGCCCAATATACTTCCAACGCGTTCCTACTTCATGTTTCAACCCACTTCTTCCGACCAGCGTGTAAGGGTGGTTTAAATAAAGCAGCGTGGATTGGCGGCGAGTCCCGTTACCCTGCGGAATCGGCGCGCTCCGTTGCTGAGCCGGGCGGCACTGTCGCCACATTTCGGGCGGCCCCGATCCATGGAGCCCGGTGGAGGGAGGAAGGGAGCGGTGGCATGTAGGATCGAGCCAACACAGGCATGGATTAAGGTGTGCGAATTAGCGACGGATCCCGCTTCCGTGCAATATCGTCGCGTTCCGTCGCCAAAGGCTACGGCATTGGCCTCGTGTCGGCGTCACCCCAACATACTAATACTGTGTGTATGCCGCTCCTCCCCGGGGCGACGCGCGTCGAGAAGTCGTACAGCATAAGCTCTGTGGCGGGCGCTTTCTGGTACCAGTCGGGAAACAGTATATACTACAAGATAGGGACACGATGTGTCCGGGTCCGACGCACGCCTCCAAGGATGACACATTGTACAAGTATGTCCTGCTGCGTTCCATCATGGTTTCGCGGAACACCTTCCCTGAGCCGTGGCCCCCGGCATTCCAGACCCACGGATCCGCGGATCCGCAGTCCACGCTCCCGAGAGGAGCCGTTTGCCTCGTCCTGCGAACCGCGAGCAGCGAAACACGTGCGTACGCCGCGCGGGGAGAAGACATGCAAAAACGAACGTCCACGCTCCCGCACGGGGACGAGTGGCGGCCTGGAGTAGGAGAGTGTTTTTGTTTAACACTCTGGGCCATACTGCGCGTAATGCCCCCCTACCTGTGATGGGCATGCTTTCCACCAGCACCACCACCACAAGAGTTGGAGGGGGGAGGGGCTCCTCCTCCTCCTCCTCCACCTCCTCCGCCTCCTCTTCCTCCTCCTCCTCCTCCTCCTCCTCCACCTCCTCGTTTTCCTCCTCCTCCTCGTTCTCCTCCTAATCCTCCACCTCTTTCCCCCTCCAACTTATGGTGGTGGTGGTGGAAAACAGGCTCATCATACCTACCTTCCCCATTCCCCTCCCCACCCCCCTTCACGTAATGTCAAGTCGGGCCTGTCCTACTACAGGGGGAATAGTCTAAAAAAGTCAAAACATAGTCAGCAGATTCTACAGGCTTACGCCACATCCGCCGACCCCTTGTATTCTTTGGTCGCTCAGGTATCAATTCTTTTGTATTTCCCTTCCCCAGGGGCTCTTGGGGGGTCCTGGGTGCCTCTGTGGGGGATGAGGCAGAGGAGTGGAAAGATAAATAGATGGAGGAAGGTGAGGATGAGGACACGGCGTCAAGCGGGCTCTGGTAGGGGTCCAGGGATTCATTTGGAGGGGATATCGTCTTCACGCCCCGTCGGTTTTCGGGGGTCCTGTCCGGCGCAAGGAGAACGTCTACAGCCCCAGGGCCGATTTTCTTAACGAATAGGATGCATTTCGTCCGCCTCCTCCTCCTTCTCTTCCGCCGACATTATTCGCCTACTCTTCCTTGTCCTCCTCTCCCCCCCACGTGAGGAGGAAGAGGAGGAGGAGGAGAATGCGTGTGACCCCGTCCTTTCTATGCAGTGGTGTGTGTGTGGTTCGATCTTGCTGATGAGGTCCGTTCGGGACCTTGGGGGGTAGTCCTGTGTCGGTTTGGGAGTCCTTGTTGTGGCTTCTGGCGGCGGAGATTTTCGCACGCCTAGAGGCCGACAAGGGGTCGGTCGATATAAGTGGTCATTGTGCTTATGCGAGCAGGAGTAGCGAGCTAGTAGAAGTAGTAGTAGTAGTAGTAGTAGTAGTGGTAGTAGTCGTAGTAGTCGTAGTAGTCGTAGTAGTAGTAATAGTACTAGTAGTCGTAGTAGTAGTAGTAGTAGTAGTAGTAGTAGGAGTAGTAGTAGTAGTACTAGTACTAGTCGTACTCGTAGTAGTGGTAGTAGTAGTAGTAGTAGTAGTCGTCGTAGTAGTAGT